TTTTTCCCATTACTGAAAGAAATTATTAAAAAACAAAACATAACTTTGAGGCATATTGATTCTTTTCTCTAGGCAAGAAATGTATATCACTCATAGGCAGCAAAAAAGAAAATGTTTACAACGTTTGCAACAGCCCAGATCTGCTTATAGGCCTTCATTAAGGCCATTGGGAGAAATGTTGAGACACGGTTTTTGTTCTTGTTTTAATTTTTCCCTTCAGCACTGAGAAATGTTTCTAAGTCAGTAACGAGTTTTCTTCCCTTTGGTAGGATCAAGGGCACAGTAAGGAATGAGGCTACCTGTAGGAAATAGTAACAGCCAGAACAGGCCTAACATGCAAAAACTACCGCTTTGCAACATACAATATTGAGGAAGATTTGTAGCAATTCTAACTTATTTTTCTTTACTCGAGAAGTGGAACAAACAACAGTATAGAAAGCCGGTATTAAATACTCAATCACTGGGGCCGGCCCCATGGCCCATGGTTAAGTTCACACACTCTGCCTCAGTGGCCCACAGTTATGCTGGGTGGGATCCTGGGCATGGACGTGGCACCGCTCATCAGGCCACACTCAGGCAGCTTCCCACATAGCACAGCAAGAGGGACCTACAACTAGAATATACAACTATGTCCTGGGGGGCTTTGGGGAGAAGAGGAAGAAGAAGGAAAAAAAAGAAGATTGGCAACAGATGTTAGCTTGGGTGCCAATCTTTGTAAAAAAATAAAAATAATAAATAAATAAATAAGCAATTGACATGTGCATTGATGCTACCAGTCACGAGGAATTATCTTTTGGAAAGGAAAACAAAATTACTTAACATTGTGAAGCATCAAAAATAAAGGAGCTGTAAGCTGTACACTAACAGAGAATGAAGCCCAGTCCTGCTTATGCCAACAGATACTGGGCTATAAATACAGTCTGTCCTATTACCTGCACTTGACACGTGCTTATTTCTGAAATAATTAGGGCCACTAGTGGATAATCTTTTGTAATTGAATTCAGTGTTTATTTAGGGTATGTTAGAACGTAACACTATAAATCATTTTACATGAGCATTTAATCTGCTTAAGCAGCTTATTACTATTTCTGACATTGATAATTCCTTGACTGTGCTAAATTATCACTAGTAAGTAACTAAGCAGCTATGAAAATCCAAATCTAGAAGCCTTACAGAATAAGGGCGTATGGTATAATGGAAAAAAGGATTCTAGTCCCATGGCCATGGAGAATAATGTGTGCAAATAAGGGGAATTGAATCTCAGCCTACAGGAGAGAGGAAAATAGTGAAGGTATTTAGGCAGGAAACAATCAACCTTGCATTTATAGAATTCCCTTTGGTAGCAGTTTACTCAATGGATCAGATGGGGCAAGGCTGGAGGTAGTGGGACCTTTGCAGTAGCCCAGGGAATAGATGAGGCACTGAACTAAATGCTAACACACACCCTGAGAAACGTTAATGGGGGAAACGAATGTTTTTGGTATCTGACTAGTTAGAGAATGCCCGTGCCACCAACCCTATTGGGAAAAGCCTGTGGGTGGTGGACTGGTTGGTATGCCTTTGCATTTGGAAGCTCAGAGAAGTGGCAAAGGATAGAGCTGTAATTTGGGAGACAAAGGTAGATGGTAGTGAAATCCATGAGGTTGCAAACAGAGAGGGGTTATGGGGAAAAGAACAGTGGTGAAAGGACAGATCATTCAGAGTCCTTTGGAAGAGTAAAACTTAAAAATAGATAGAAGAAATAGAGCCTATGAAGAAGGCAGAGAAAAACAATTAGGTAGCAGGAGATCCATGGAGTCTTGTCACAGAGAAGAAAGGAATTGGGAGTTTCAAGGAAGGAGTGATCAATACTATCTGATACCTTACCTGAGTGATCAAGAAGGATAAGCGTGGAAGAACATCCATTGGATTTGATCATTCTGGAGGCCATCTTGTTCCCTTTCCCCACACAGTCAGGTAAGAGGTAGGGGGCAGAAGCAATGTGTACTTTGGGTTGGACAGTGAACAGGAAGTTAGAAGTGAAGATATTGAGTGTACACTTAACTATCAGGAAGCTCAGATGTAAGGAGAAGCTCTGAGACAAAGTAGACTGGAAGGAGGGAGCAGAGTGGAAGAGGCATGGTTATGTTTATTTCCTGAAGGATAAGGACAATTAGACAATAAGTTGGAGAGAGAGAAGAGTGATGCAATGTTTGATGCAGCTAGGTTCTTCATGAATGGTAACAGAAGTTAGGACATAGTGGGAGGAATTGACCTTAGCCAGGAGGACTTGTTTCTGTGATGAGAAAGGTAGGGAAAAGGATAAATGTAGATTGAGGCAAATTAGCCAGTGGAGGTGCTAAGAGAGAGGAATCTGTGCCTGACGAAGGTGAAGTCATCAGTAGACTGATGAGGATCGAGATGGGTAGTGTGTTTGAGAATAACGGGGAGGAATAGGAAATGGAGCTGACCGAAATAAAAGGTACAAAGATCAATTGATTGCAATTGGCCTAATGTTACTAATCTCTGAAACAGAAAGATTGCTTCCAGCATAGCTCAGAAGCTCTGCCAGGGTTTCGAAGGAAGATTATATATTTGATCCAAGATTGGGGTTCTGTAGGATAAGCGCTGTGGTGGGAAGGAGGGCAGAGTTGAGAGTAATTTGGTTTATAACAGGTTGATTTGCTTTTAGGTTAAACAGTAGGGGTTTTGTTAGGCAGATGGAGGTGGGTGTTAAATTTTTTCTTGATACTGAGCACATACTAAGAAAAGGCATAGAATTTGGATCTCTGCAATCAGGGCTGTAAACGCTTATGGCCCTGAATCTCCCATGCTTGAAACTGTTGCCCAATTGGACTACTGGCTTTCTTAGTGAATTATATGTTGCTGATAGCTATAGGAAGGAGATAGAAGAGGAGGTGGGCAGAAATTTAATCTTGTTATTCACATTCAGTATGACTCTGTTTCCTGTTGGATCTGCTTTGCAGAGTTCTATGGATTCATAAAGAGTCTGCAAGCAGAGTTTGTACGTGAATGATCGTATACTCCATTCGGAAAAACATTTCTTTCACTGGTTTCCAGAGTTAACTAATTGTTTAAAAGTTGTCTTGACTGGTGGCTCTTTCTAGTTGAAACAGCCTGCTCACAATCAAGTGAACTTCGACACTCTGCCAGAGGCATTCATACCAAGGATGTTTACAGGTGACTCAAATGTAATGTGCAGGGCTAGGAAATGCCAGAACTTCAACAATAGGCAAAGCCGCTCTCTGGAACAATGGGAGAAACGGTCAAAGTGATATTTTGCCACTGGCCTTTGCAATTTTTGTCCCAGTAGCTCCAAGTTTTGCAAGCAGGCAGCAGAGGCACACACGGCAACTCGTGGGAACGGGAATAGGCCAGTAAAATTATAAAACCTTTGATGGGTTTTGCTTTATAAGGAGGAACTGTTGTGGGAAAAGCACCAGACGGGGAGTCAGGAAATCTGGGTCCTAGTCTACGCTAATCACATCAAAGATCTGGGCCTCAATGTCTTCATCTGAAAAAACAACCTGGTTCCACTGATAGGACCGGGGGAAACAAAATAGTTATAAGCTAAATGCCGACTCCTTTTAGCTGCCTTCTACTTCAGGGATTCCGGTTTAATGAGTAGATTCTGATGCTAAAAGAAATTTAAAGACTTCTAGCTAGACGGTTTTTCCCAAGATCCTTTCTATCCTAAAATTCTAATGCTCTAAATGAGAATAACCAGTAGGATTACATTTAACTTAATTCTCAAGAGTCTAATAGTTCTAATTATTGTTGTTGAGCACATTTTTATTACTTTTCACAATCTTTGATTTTGAAAACTGCTTTGTGTCAACCCCAAGAATCAGGATTTCTTAGCTTGTGTTCATGGATGAATTTCTGGGAGTCTGTGAAAGGGACACATGCAAGATTTTGTGGATGTGGACATACAGAAAGAGTCCAAAACTTTAGTCAGAGTCTCAACAGCTAAATGAAAGCAGTAAGAGCACAAGTCATCCCCACTTGATGGGAGTCAAAAGAGGCCCAGTCTGAAGCTGACACAGAGTGAGAGGAATTCAAAGGCATTTCATAGGCTTTACAATGAAAATGACTTCCCAGTCCCCTGTCACAACCACATCCCCTTCCCAAGATGACATTGTCGGTGTGTATTCACACTGTTGTGGGCAGCGGAGGGGGTCCACAGGGTCTCTGGAGATGGTGCAGTATTCCCCCTTATCTCACATTTTCTGATATTTGAAAGAAGCCAAGATCAAATTCTTTGGCTCTCCATCCCAATTCTCCACAACTCTGACATATTTTTACTAGATAGAAAGAACCAGAGTCTTCACTTTTTCAATCTGTAGTCTTGTCAACCTAGAGTTCTAGATGGCTCATGGGCCAGTATGTTTGTTTTGAAAAGATGCATCCTAAAGTAATTAGGAAAAATAAGCATAAAGGAAAACATACACGTTTGGCCATTCAGGAACATCTCGCCTTGAAGGGCTCAGATAGTGACTAGGGAAGACTTTTCTGTGTACATTTTCAGTTCTGTTCTGTATTGAATATTTGTGTGATTATTAACATTATATTTAATAGCAGACATTTCCATGGTCTTTTAAGTCCTGGTTCAGAGAGGAATAACCTTGTGGGAAGAACAGAGCACAGGTCTGAGACAGGAAGCAGGAAATGGGGGCAGAGATGGGGCTGCAATGGAACACTGGGGCTCAGAGAGAAGCCTCCAGACACAGTGAACCAAGCCAGGGATTGGATGGAGCCCCTGCTTCCCATAGCAGGGCAAAGCTGGGGCCTGGGGATGTGTACCTGTGATCTACTGGTATGGAAAAAGCAAACCTTTCATAAACAATATGCTAACTCAGACACGGTGCACCAAGCAGAAAAATAATGGAGTATGAAAAATGAGACAAACAACAAATGGTAACACCACCAGAACTGCAAGCTGATTTTAGATACTGTAAGAATTCCTGGAATATAACACTTTTGCTCTGCTTTCGTTTCAGATGCTGCACAACAAACACGTCATGGTCCGTGTGGGAGGAGGATGGGAAACTTTTGTGGGGTACTTGTTGAAACACGACCCCTGCCGGATGCTGCAGATCTCCCGTGTGGATGGCAAAACATCCCCCATCCAGAGCAAATCGCCGACCCTTAAGGACGTGAATCCAGATAATTACCTGGTGGTCTCTGCCAATTATAAGGCTAAGAAGGAGATTAAATGAAACTAGTTGGTCACTACAAGGGGACTCTCATAATGGCCTGTATCCACTTCTCCAGTGTAGTCAGTTTAGTTCACATGCTCTGAAAATTACTTTGGAAAAAGTCTTAACAGACAGACAAATGCCATCATATTGAAAAACATCCAAAGAGTAGCACTATTTATTGTAATGCTTCTATAGAAAATGACCTATTAAGAGAAATTCTAAACTCAGATTTAAATTAGACAAATTGTAGGCAAATTATTATTTCTCAGTATGTGAACACAGTATTTGAGAACACAATATTAGAAATACAGCTCTAGCTAGATAAAAATTGTTATTAGAAGAAAATATTTAGGATTTACAGTTAAGTCAACAGAAGGTGCGTGCTGTATGTCTACAGAGGAAAAGCACCCAGAGGCATTTTTATAATTGCAGGATTTTTAAGCTAATTTTTAAAAAGTGACAATTAGTGGGATAATGTGCTACTAAAAATATCCAACAGCACTATAAGTACAGAGTATTCACAACAGTAATACTTTACTCGAAAGGCCACTTCAGAAAAGTTTACATTCACCTGGAAGAGTGCCTTAAAGTTTATCCCTTACCTATGACCAAATATCTGGGGTACTTTTGGAAGTTTTCAGTAAACCCCTGGGAGAGTTGCTGATGAAGCGTTTCACACATTCCTGAGCACGTGGCTGTGTTGAGACAGTGTAATTCATACACGTAAGCTGACATACGTTTATATTTTGACCGAGTAAATTGTACAGTCACATGTGCATTGACTTCATGTTATTTTAAAGCATTTCCTTGTTAAAATATATCTTTAGTTAATCCTACTTTGCTATGCTGTCTAGTGAGGTAAAGTCACTGTAGCTAATGATGTTACAGACTTATGTATACTCTTGTGTACCTAGGACAGAGCTGTTTTGTACCCATAAACAGCAAAATATTGTCCTCCCTGATACAAGAATTAAAAAGATAAATTTAAAAAATCTCATGTCTCTAGATCAGTGCTTCATTCTGAGACAAAGATAATCTTCAAAGGGTAACTTCCCCTGAGAGTTAGGGGAAGAGGCAAACGATGGTTTCCGAGTACTTACTTCTTCCCTTTGGGCTGCTGAGTGCTGCTGGTGTGTGTTCTCCTTAGCGGGGAGTCTAGTTTATCGTAGGTAGTCCCTTAGGTGCTACCTGGAGTATAAAATTACAGGCAGAGTTAATTTGTCATTGCCTTGTTTTTCAATGGCAGCAAAATCCACCTGTTTTGCTCCAGAAAATCAGGGAGGACGTATCTCAGTTTGTCACGTCACTGATTTAGTCGAAGCATACACGACCTGTTAACTGGGAGGTTTAAAACAACAGGCATGGTATAATTTGGTGGTGCTGGAAGTGGTGATAATCATTCTGGAAAAAAAATGAAAGTTTTGTAGGAAATAAAATCAGCTTGGAACAGTGAATAATTGTAATATCTTTTAAAATACAGATATTGCATGATTTGAATTTTATGTTCTAAACTAATATTAACACTGAATTTCTCTGTATAGTAATCGGCAATATTTCCACCAAAACTTTCTCCTGTGCTTAAATTTTTCCCGTTAACATATTTATGTCTTTAATAATTAAAGTTGAGCCAGCCATGGCCGAGTGGTTAAATTTGCGGACTCTGCTTCGGCGGCCAAGGGTTTTGCCAGTTGGGATCCTGGGCACAGACACGGTACCATTCATCAAGCCATGCTGTGGTAGGCGTCCCACATGTGGAGTAGAGGAGGATGGGCATGGATGTTAGCTCAGGGCCAGTCTTCCTCAGAGAAAAGAGGAGGATTGGCAGCAGATATTAGCTCAGGGCTAATCTTCTTCAAAAAAAAAAGATTGGCATCGGATGTTAGCTCAAGTGCCAATCTTGAAAAAAATAAGAGAAAGAGCATCTCATTCTCTCACACCTCCTGTTTAAAAAATAATAAATTTCATTTAGTTAAAAAATAAGTGGTTAACAAAAATAATATTAATCCCTCCATCTATTTTATTAGTTTTCTATTGATGATGTAACAAATTACCACTCAGTGGCTTAGACAACACAAATTTATTATGTTATAGTTCTGTAGGTCAGACGTTTGAGGTGGTCTCACTGGGCTAAAATCAAGTTGTCAGGAGAGCGGTGTTCCTTTCCGAGGAGTCAAGGACAGAATCTGTTTTCCTTTTCCACCTTCGAGGGGCTGCCTGATTTCCTTGGCTCATGTCCCCCTTCCTCTATCTTGAAAGCCAGCAACAGAGTATTTCAATGATGCTGCTTCTTTCTGTACATCTGTCTGACCACAGGTTAGAAAGGCTCTCTGCTTTGAAGGATCCATATGATCAGATTGGGTCCACCTAGATAGTCCAATGTAATCTCCCCATTTTAAGGTCCCTAACTGAATCACATCTGCAGAATACCTTTTTCCATGTAAGGTAACATATTCCCAGGTCCCAGGGATTAGGATGTGAGCATCTTTGGGGGAGGATGGCATTATTCTTTCTGCCTATAGCACATTTATGATGGTCTTTTAAGCATCACTAAGAACATGGTCACAACTGACATTGGCGTCTAGCTGCTAGCTGAATGGCACTGAACAGAGATATGGAAAAAGAGACTATATTCAGAAGGAAATGATCAAATGTAGATGACTCTTACCCACTGACACCTTAGTGAAAATTACTGCGTTCTTTTTTCAAAATTGTTTCGGCTATTATAAATCTTGTATTTCCATATAAACTATAGAATCATTTTGTCAATTTCTCTGAAAAAGTTTGCTGGGATTTTGCATTGAATTTATTGATAAATTTAAGAATGCCATCTTGACAATATTGAGTCTTCCAATCCATGGACATGCATGTCTCCCCATTGAGATCTTTTTTTTCCTATTTCTCAGCAATATTTTGTAGTTTTCAGTTGAAATCTTTTACTTCTTTTGTTTTTTCTGAAGTATTTTATTCTAAGTAATGATACTATGATTGAAATTGTTTTCTTGATTTTCAGATTGTTCATTACTTGCGTATAGAAGTAGAATTGACTTCTTCACATGCTGACTTGGTATCCTGCAACCTTGCTCAAGCCATTAGTTCTACAAAGTTTTGTGTAGATGCTTAAGAATTTTCTACATATGAGATATTTGGTATCTTTTTAACCTATTTTAAGTATGTCTGTTACTTATAACCTGACTATCTAAGAAATGTAGAATGAGAAAAGGGCACGTTAGGAGTTAGGTAGAGTAAGGAGTTTACCATAACTCCTTTACTTCTGACTTAGGTGACGAGATAGATTTGAGAGAAATAGCCGAGAGAGAGCCAGGTTGTACGCAAAACTAATTAGTGATGTGTCATTTAATGATAGGCATGCATTCTGAGAAATGTGGCAGGCGATTTTATGGTTGTTTGAACATAATAGTGTGTTCTTACACAAACCTAGATGGTATAGCCTACTACATACCTAGGCCATATGGTACTAATCTTATGGGACCACTGTCGCGTATATGAGGTCCATCATTGACCGAAGTGTCACTACGTGGCCCATGACTATAGTTCCATTTGAGATAAGTGTGAATACTTGCAAAAGATGGCTCAAACTTGTTTTTATGACTAGAGGATTTTAACTCAAAACTCAACACAAGTCAAGTATGTTGCTATAAAAATAGACAATGCAATTCAGGATATAGTTAAAGTATCATAGTAATTTATGAATATTCAGTTCTTAGACAATAATGATCACATTTACAGGCAACATTTGTAAGATGAAGCATACCTGGAAGAGGGAGAAAAGGATAATAAAAAGCCAAGTCATATGAAAAATTTAAAGTGTTTGAGTTGTTGGGACATGAGCTTCTCTGTATTAAACCAAAATTTCTTCAAAGTCTGTTATATATAAATGCCTTGTCAGTGGCTTTTTAGAAAATCACAGAAAATAGCCACAGTACCACATCTGAATCAACTTAAAGCACATATTGTAGTCCTGGGAATTTGAGATGCTTACTTGGTCATGTTAAAGGAATACACCTTAAATGACAACACAGATAGGCATGCATATCTACTACCTGTTACTGATCTATTTATGCAGATGTTATTATTCAAATCTAAAACCCATAAGAGCTTCTTTTTCTTCTAAGGGCGTAGCATAATTCTTATCAGTGAAAATAAACAAGTTGAACTGTTGGTGGAGAAAAGGAAAATTCAAAGCTTATGTCAATTCTCCTGGGATAGCTAGAACCTTTATTACAGTATTATTTCTCTAAGGAAACAGGGGACTAATAATATCATTTCTCCTTTAGAATACAGGAAAAGAAACATGGCTACTATAAATTCAGGGGTGGTATGAATACACCAAACAGCCTTTAGCTCTGTTGTTCTCATTAATTCCAAAGAGAAGAAAGCATGGTGGAGGTCTCCCTAACCACTAACCCAAGCTCTAATTATTTAAGATGTAGTGAAGATAAAGTTTTGTTAAAGAGAGATGGCAAAAGCTAATTTGTATACAGGAAAAAAAGGTATATTTGTATCCCCATAAGGCAGTACAGAATTTATAACAAAATCAAGTGTGGGAAAACAATTACCTTCCAATTACAATCGGTGGAACAATAGTATCACATATAGATGTTTTAAAAAACATGCAGCATGTCAACAAACAGGCTGTGTAATAATACACAACTTCTTGTTACCAGCCATATTAATAGTTTGATGATTAGATTTGAAAAGCAGTGATTTAAGCATTTTACATCGTAACATGGTATTACATATACAGATGTTACTGTTTCAGTTATCTTTTAGTAATTTGGCTGGGGGTCTGGGTGACATATTAAGCATTATAATGTTTTCCTATTTAAATGATAAATTATGGGAAACTGGCTCCAAGTTAAGGCTTTCATGAGGAACTGATTCATACTTTATGAGGGAGATGCCTGGATGCGTGTGTACAATTTTGTTTTTTAGTAGTCGCTTTCTGGTTTCCTTTCAAGTGTCTAGTCTCCCCTGTTCCTTTTCCCTTCCTAACACTATTCCTAACATTTGAGTATCACCTCTTAGTCCATGCAACCCATGTGGTTTGGGGGAAAGCTGATCACACCCATGGAGGCAGGTCATGGATGGCTGGAGCAGCCTATCCCACTGTTCCCAGAAAGCAACACACCAGCATAGCATTCATGGTCCAACAGTAAATAAGCATCGTATTTGGATATAAACTGCTATTAGAAATAGGGCATTCTCTCCTGGATGCAAACCTTTCATTTACACCAACTGAAGATATAATTCTTTGATGTGGTACAGATAAGATTGTTCTTTCTATATGAAAACAAAAGGATTTGCAAAGTTCAGAAATGGATTGTTCTGGTTCCAAATCCATTCAGCCATTAATGATCCTTTTTCCTTTCTGCCTTACAAAGTTAATTCATGTTCATAAAGTCAAAAATTTTATTTTTAAAAAACAATTCAATGATTTCACTATCCTTTATGAACAAAAAATACCACTAATCTTCTAAAAGATGAAGAAAATTGAACCTAACTATATGTTTTGCCTAGATACTCAGACTATTTCATGCCATAATAGAAAAAAGTAATTTTTCCAATGAGAAGTCAAGAGACCTATATTATACTGCAAACTTTTTAAAATTAACATATACAATATCCTGCAATATAACACAAGTCTTTCAGGACAGATGAGCAAGATAGTGGCTCAGTTTCCTTTTTGTAAACCAAATTAGCTATTTAATTTACAGTCCTTGTTGGCACTCAGTATCTGAAAATTCTAATTTAGGGCTCCGACTGTGGCCCTGTCATCCAAAAGTTAGCAACCAAATTAAACATACGGCAGTTCTTCTATTTTAGCTTACTATATAGAAGAAAACTCAAAACCCAAAAATGCTATAAAACACATTACTAAGGAACAAAAATCTAAAAAGCTTATGACTACTCATCATAGAGAATTACCTTGTAATATTTTTATGTTTGTTTATTTTTTAATTTTTTTTTTTTGAGGAAGATTAGCCCTGAGCTAACATCTGCTGCCAACCCTCCTCTTTTTGCTGAGGAAGACTGGCCCTGAGCTAACATCCATACCCATCTTCCTCTATTGTATATATGGGATGCCTACCACAGCATGGCTTTTTGCTAAGAGGTGCCATGTCCGCACCCGGGATCCGAACTGGCGAATGCCAGGCCGCTGAGAAGCGGAAGGTGCGAACCTAAATAGACCAGCCCCTATTTTTATGTTTAAAGTAGACCTTTTTAAATACAGTACCTACATGTGTCTCTTTCACACATTTCTATTTGCCTGGGCAATTTCACATCTGTATAAATCTTATGATCATTCTTTAACAAAATACAGAAGAATAAAAACACCTGTGAAATCCAGACAAATACATTACCACTCGGTATAACCCATCCAGTTTCTTAGTTTAACTCAAGTACTACAAAGATCTTGATAGAGCTGAATGTGATATTGGACAACAGTACATCACTGCCCTCTGATGGTACCATTAATATGTAATTTTAAATTCAGCAAGCAAAAAAAAAAACCCACTTTATTGTAATGTAAAACACAGTTATGTTAATTTTATAAGCTACAGCAATAGAAAATAAATTAGGAGAAATTCAACATTTCCTACAAATATTCACTACTTGGTAAGTTATAAAAATTTACAGTGTTCCTTCACATAAGCCCTTCAAATGATTTTTCAAGATTTTCCCTGATGATCGGTTTAAAGGCACTAAGTCCACAAGTTTAAGCAAAAGTCTTGCTATATAATGAAATAAAAAGAGAGAGAAGGCTCAGCAGCAAACTATAAATAGCTAGATCACTTCATAAAGGAGGGAAAATACAATGGCGAACTTTCATATTTGAGATGTATGTAGAATTTTTACATGCAATATATATATTTATAGCCACTATTTAGGTCCATGTTTTAACTACTAAAAAGTGGCAAATCACCCCTTACCTGCAGAAGAGCAATTGTAGGAAAATAAGTACATAATGAAAGGTCTGGCCATTTTCTAAGTTTGAAAATCAAAAGCATTTTCAATATCTCAGTACTGAAAAAGCACTGCGCGTAAGGAACTAAAATTACAGTCTGAATCTTCATTTATTCAAAGAGAAGAAATTAAACTGAGGACATCCATATGATCGCAGACATTAGTTACTGGCAGTAGACTCGTCGCTCATGTTATGCTTTATGACACTGTCCACTAGAAAAGATAAAAATATACAGAGCAAAGTTAATTTTATTTGAAGTTATATAACAATATTCTAGTGAACAAACAGATAAAGAGAGGAATATGGGCTCTTTTCATGGTTAGTTCTGTCAAGTAAATTCCGATTCCTAGCGCCCTGTGCACAGCAGAGGGGAGCCCTGCGCGGTCTTTGCACCATCCTCTCCCCTTCCAGCGCTACAGCAGACAACAATATTTGCGGAACTGGGTGGCCGGGTCCTTCTTCCTAGTCTGTCAGTCTGGGAGCTCCGCTGAAACCTGTCCACCATGGGGGACCCCACTGGTATGTGAAATCCTGGTAGCAGAGCCTTCAGCATCACAGCAACATGCAGCTGCCGCAGCGTGACAACTGACAGACGGCTCGTGTGGATCCCTGACTGGGAAACAAACCAGGGCCGCAGCAGGGAGAGCACCAAATCTTAACCACTAGACCACCAGGGCTGGCTAATATGGGCTACACAAATATAGAAGGATTTTTCTAAGTGGCAGCGATTAGTAACATTTTACATTACAGTCAAAAGTCTGAAATAAGGTATATAATGGCTCAAAAATATAAAGAAGTAATACTAAATATCTGGGCAGACTAATGGGTAGCTAGATCCCAAATATCCAAGTATCAGTAAAGGAAAAACAAAACAAAACCAACAATGAAACTACAAAATAAAAACAAGGACCTTGTTTGAGGCAGGGAGCTAAGAAATGCTAGAAAATATTAAATAATCGTGCAGCAAAGTCTTTTCCTTGCTTGACTAGAGAAATGATTCCATCTGTTGTTCTGTTGAATCAAGTCTATTAAATCTGCACTACTGAGTTCTACAGGCGCCATCGGGATAGTCCTGGAGATGTTTGCCAGTCTGGAGTAGTGCTTCCCAAGTACATCTAAGGAATATTACTGGGTGTTATATATATATATTTTAGATCTGAATTTAAATATGTTTTGAAAAATTAAGGGTTAATCCAAATAAATTTGCTTTTCTTTATTTTAGGACTTCTTAGAGACTTGAAAAGTATGCCTTTTTTAATCTTCAAGAAAGTATACAATGCAGTATTCAATACAGTAATCAGGATTTCAAAGCATTTTTTACTATGGGACTCTATTTTCCACAGTATATCTCTTAGGACTAGTGTTAAAAACACTAGAGCAGTGATTGTCAGTCTTGTTTGACATTAGATTACCTGGGGGAGCTTAAAACAGTCCTGATGGCTGAGCCCCACACAGAGATACTGACTGCTATGGAGGGGACCCAAGGTTCAGCCTTTTGTGCAGGCTCCTCAGGACTCCACCGTGCAGCCAGGGTGGAGAGCCCCTGCACTAGGGGTCTGCCACTGCTCCGCTCCTGCTGCGTCCTGTCCTGAAGTGAGTTTGAGTCCTGGTGCCATCAACACACTGACTTTTTAAAATAAGGCTGCCTTTCTGGAAGACAGTGAGCATCGCCAATGCCAATCATCCTGGGAAGAGGCAGAGCTGGTCAGGAGACGAATATGTGGAGGGCATAAAGACAGGGAAAGGACACGTCTTCCTCAGACTATAGAGCCTGGTTAGGAAGAATCTAGCTATACTATAGGACACTCCGGGCCAGCCTGTATAACAGGCCCAACAGCAGCCCTTAAAGGACCCCAGGCCAAGGGATTTGAGGATTCAAGTTACCCTCTGCCTTGTATTTTCCCTTCTGTAATTCCTGAGCTTCCAAAAATTCATTTTTAACTTCACTGTATGCTCTCGATGAGCTATGCAGGTGGTCAAGGTGAAAGGGGCATGTCCTGTAAAGCCAGTGTGTTGGTGGTACAAATGATTAGGACTGTTCCAAGGGAAAACGACACTGCGGGCAACAGTAGTGGTTTATGAGAATGAGCCACTCTTCTTGGAAGAATCCTCCCGTCACCGTCCAGCTTGATGGCTCTGAGGGTCATTTTTATTAAGCCAGAGAGGTTTCTTATAAGAACAGTAGACACAAAAAAAGGTACTAAATTTAACACTGGAATATTTTTCATGATGAGCGCTTCTGAGGGAACCAGAAGCAAAAGAAGGCCTAATTTATTTCTAATCTGCAGGCTCCAGGGCCTGGAAGCTTCTTCAGGTTTAATTAAGAAAGCCCCTTTCTTAAGACTTTAAAAGCCAATGTTAAATTTGTTACATTAGAACATGTAAAATAAGTACCTTTGTAATTCTACCTATATACACAATATGTTTTTTTTTTTGTTTTTTTCTTTTGCGTAAGATTAGCCCTAAGCTAACATCTGCTGCCAATCCTCCTCTTTTTGCTGAGGAAGACTGGCCCTGAGCTAACATCTGTGCCCATCTTCCTCTACTTTATACCTGGGACGCCTACCACAGCATGGCTTGCCAAGCTGTGCCATGCCTGCACCCGGGATCCGAACCAGCAAACCCTGGGCCGCCGAGAAGCAGAATGTGTGCATTTAACCACCTCGCCACCGGGCTGGCCCCTCTTTTCTTATAACGTTATATGTCACTCTGATTAAGTCACTCCCTACCTCCATTTCTTCTATTATGAAACAGTGGATCTCAGCATCATTTCCAGTCCTCTAATTTAATTTTCACAAATTGTTTGCTTTTGAGAACCCTCTATGAAGGAAACCTGGTGACACAGATCTTTATCTCAACAGAATATTGAAAGTAAGCATCTATACTTCTGATCGATATTTGACCTTGTATCTCCCAACTGTTTGACTTCACACTAGACTACTGCGGGGGTATATAAAAGACATAAGCAAAATGGTCACGGCTATTTACCTTAATACTGAAACCAATTATTTCATACGTTGTTAAAAGTTAACGATAAAAAATTATTTTTTAAAAATTTCATTTATTAAATGAAATTAGATGAAGTCACATACAGTTGTAAAATACACACAGATAAATCTTTCTCTCTGTGATATTCCTGAGCCAGAATCACCTCTGCTCAGGATGCTCCTACACTGCCTGCCCCACAAGTTGGGGGGATACATACATATATGTATTTATATCAATATTTTTGAGAGCAAACACCAAACTAAGTTGAGAAGACATTGAATCAGCTCAAGAAGTGCTCATAAATCATTGACAAGTTAACTATAAATGACTGAAATTCAGGACATTGTCCTTTTCACAAATATACTTATTTGATAAATGTATTTCCTTTAAAAGTGGACAAAGAGTAAAATCGTAATATCGGAACCATTATTCTCCTGAGCTTTAACATGTAAAATAAAACCTTTACAGTCCTGCTAGACTGTAAAATCCCCAAGTTCAGGGACCTTGTTTAATCTGTCCATCATCATAGTTCCACTGTCAAGAGCTGCAATTGCTACATTGAGATGCATATGTCACACTCACCCCGCTCACCCAGTTGTCCAAATTAACATTTACATGACTATGATCATGAGTGACAACGGAGAGCTCAAAAGTCTCCAATAACTGAGTGAAAAAATGTAGGTTATAAAAAAAGAATTTACAGTATAATCAAATTTAGTAAGACTGAGGTATAAATGGAGATTAGAAATGATGTCTGTCAAAATGACACTAAATTTGGGTAATTTTTACCTTCTTCTATATACTCTTCCATATTGTTTGAGTTTTCTACACACTTAAGATTAGTATTAATTTCATAAGTATAAAGATATAGTGTTAAGATAATCACGAAAAATCTATTTCATTTTAGGAAAAAGAAAGTAAGTCTATTTCAATGAATGTTGGGATGTCCAAATAAATTGACACTTCTTCCAATCTACGTTATTAATGCTTTTAAATTAATTCAAAATTTTCTGGGAATCCATTTCAAGAAGAAATTATTGAATGGATTGTTTTTAAAAGTTTTTAAAAATTCCAGGTAAAATAAACCTTAAGTAAATTTTAATACTTACTCTAAGTCCACCTTCTGGTGGGGGCCCAGACGTAGCAATTTGTTTTTCTATTTTTTCCTTTTTCTTTCTCTTTTGTTCCACAGATTGAACATCCAAAATGCCCCGAGATGCAGCCTTTAAGAGATTTGTTAAGGGGTACAGAAGAACAATGAAAATCAGTATCCAGTGTCCAAAAGGTGTTTTCTTGTTTGTTTTTTCTTTGGAGTGAGAGGTTGGTCTATATTTGGTAACAAGAATTAGACAATTTCTACAACAGCGTAACATAAAACATATTATCATTTCTTCATTGGGTCTTTTGCAACCATACAAATTTTTCCCCTAAACTTACTTCACATCTGTCAGTATTTTGTAAGGCATGGTCATTTTATCCCAAGAAGAATGCTATTAAAGGGGCATCTCACATTACAGAAGATATCTCTATGCTAATTCACACATTAAATGGTATAAGTGCATTTGATAGAAACACAGAAATCATTTTTAAAAATGATTACCTTTAAATATAAATTTATAAGATATCAGATACCATTTCATTAGAAAATACTACTTAATAAACATCTAGCGAGAATGAAGTACAAACTGAATTATTTGGTAGGTAGAATTTTACTTTTGACTCTCACCTCCTTCTGTCTTCTCTCTGCAGCCTCTGCAAGCTTTGCTCTTTTCTCTTCCTAAAGAAAATGTGTAAAAAATACATTTTAAAGTCAAATCAAACATTGTTGTGGCTCATTTATACACCTACACTTATAGGTAATAAACAGTTTACAAAAATATTTAGTACTGGCCCCAAATTTTCCACTAAGACTGCCACTATTTACAATATTTATAAAATAGTCAACTTTCTGAATTTCACTCTTCCAATCAATCAATATACCTTCAAATAAGTATATGCTAAAACATATTTATAGATATATGTCATCTATATTATGCCTTATACATTATATATTATATATATTACACATATATTTATACAGGTTGGCCTATAAAAAAATCTACTTGCTTTTTTTTTTAAAAAAAAGTGCTTACAAGCCAGTCAGGGCACTAATAAAACAAATGACATTTACTAATACAAGGAGGGAACTACGTGGTTTGATATGGCCAATTAAAAAGAAGTCTGAAGTAGGCTAGTGTTTTCAGGAAAACTTCACGAATGAAGTGGGTACATGTCACTGGGTAGGACAGGAAGGGCTGGAGGAAATTTATGAGATGTTGGGAAACACTGAATATCATTTTTCTATATCACGTATTACTTAATTATGAAGTCTTTAAATATCTAAGACAGTAAGCGGCGTTCTCTTGGGAGCTGTGTTAACAATTCCCTTGTTTTCCATACCACAATCCACACACTCATGCATTCATTGGGCAAATATTCAGGGAGCACCTATCATGCCTCAGGAGCTTTTCTAGGTGCTGAGGATACAGCAGAGAAAAAAATACAGATAAATGTTTCCATCCAAATGGAACTTAAATTCCCAGGAGGGCACACAGTCAAATCAAGTAAGTAGTGTCTGTCAGAGAGTAGTAAGTGCTTTGGGGAAATATAAAGAAGAGTAAGGTGGATAAGAAACGGAAGGGTAGGTGGGTGGTACGGTGTGGGATCTATTTTATTCGGGTGCTCAGGAGAAGCCTCAGAGATAAAGGGCCATTCAAGCAGCGAGGCATGTGGTTATCTGTGGGAGGGGGGAGGGCTTAACAATGCTGACAGATGGGATTTTACCAACAGCCAAACTAACAAAATTAGCACGTAAAAGCAACATTATTGGGGCTGGCCCGGTCGCCCAGTTAAGTTCGTGCGCTCCGCTTGCGGAGCCCAGGGTTTTGCTGGTTCTGATCCTGGGCGAGGACCTGGCACCGCTCATCAGGCCACACAGAGGCAGTGTCCCACACAGCACAACCAGAGGGACCTAAACTAGGATATACAACTATGTACTGGACGGCTTTGGTGAGAAGAGGAAAAAAGGGGGAAAAAAAGAAGACTGGCAACAGATGTTAGCTCAGGTGCCAATCTTTGAAAGAAAAAAAAAAAAAAGCAACAGTAGCAAGAACCACAAGGTGAACTTTCCCTTATCAACTTCCAGGTCATTTTTGGTACGCATAATCAAATGGCTGAAGAGTTACTATACTTCCCTGAATAACTCATTTCCTTCAACCAATTTTTAGCTAGACAGGAGAGAAGAGAGGAATTTAGGTTTTCTGTTATCAACTGCCTGTTAGGACTATTAATGGAAAGACAGTGTTAAAAATAGAAAGCTGCAAAAAAGTCTAACTCTATTGTACCACAAAATGCCTAGTTAAATTTGAATTTCAGATAAACAGCGAATAATTTCTAGTATAAGGACGTCCTAAATATTGCATGAGATAAATCTATTTTTAAAATGTATTCTTTGTTTATCTGAAAATTCAAATTTAAGTCGGCGCCCTGTCTTTTTGTTTGCTACATATGGCAAAGTTACAAACTGTACCCTTTGCACTATATAAAATATTCTTTTTGTAAAAAAACGGAATGACTCCAGCCAGCCCTGATGGCCTAGTAGTGAAAGGTCGGGCTCTCGCTTGGGCAGGTGGGTTCGCTTCCCAGCGGCGGAACCACACCGCCCATCTGTAAGTTGCAGGGGCCCACATAGAAGAACTAGGACGACTCCCAACTAGGAGATACAACCTGTGCCCTGGGGCTTTGGGGAGAAAAACAAAAGAAAAAAGAGGAAGATTGGCAACAGATGTTAGCTCAGGGAGAATCTTGACCTGCAAAAAAGGGAAGGATTTAAAGGCAAGAGGTAAATACTAAAGGGAATCATTGATTAATACAATATCCAAGAAAGCGCAGGAGCACAGGAGGCTTTATGGAGCACCTTCTTTGAACAGCTGGTACAGACACAGGAAAATGCACATCTCCTGGCACAGCACACCCTCAGGTCCGCAGAAAGGGGCATTTCCCTCGCCGCTCACTCCATCCCCCGCGGCGCCCGCACCCCCGTCCCACCGGCTCCCCGAGCGGCCGCTCAGCCAAGGCAGAGACCCCGGGCCGCCTCGGGACAATTTAGCGTAACGAAAGACGGACGACCCACACGGAGGCAGGACCCCAATTCCCTCCGCGCGTGTCCACACGCGTTCGCCGCCAGGGGCCCTCGCCGCCGCGGCCAACCGCCCGGCCCGGCGCCCGCAGCTCGGGGCCTCCGCGCGCCCTCCCGGGAACAGGTGCGCGGCGCGGGGGCCGGCGGACGCGGGGCTGCGGCCTCACTCACCAGGTCCGGCGAGGGAGGCGCGGACTCCCCGGGACAGGGGAAACACAGCCCCATTGGGAGAGCGGCGGGGGTCCTCGCCCGGCCCGCCCCACACCCGGCGACTCGAGCTGCGCTGTCAGACCCGAGGCCCGTCTGCCGCGCTCGCCCCGCCCCCACTCGGCCCGGCGCCGCGGCTCGGCCACGCCCCCCGCGCGGCTCGGCCCCGCCCCGCCCCTGCCGCTCGGCGCCGGCGCCTGAGGCCCGCCCCGCCCCGCCCCGCCCCGCCCCCGGGGGCCCGCCGCGCCCAGCCCCGCCCCTCCAGGCCAGGCCCGAGGGCCCGGGGACGGCGGACCGGGCACCTGCCGGGGAGGCGCGGAAAAGCGGGATGCGTGGCTCGCTTGCCTGGCCACTTGTAAACGGGGGACACGGCTCAGGGTAGTTGACGCTGCTTCTCTTGTGAGAAGGGACTCTGAGCTCCAAGGAATTAAAGCCCAAGTTGTAAACTGACATCAGCACCATTTTCTGCCTCCAGGTGAGTCAGTACGACTCCAGGTGAGAGAGCGAAACCCGAATGCCATCGCCGTCTGTTGAGAATCCAGACTCACGGAGGTGGCCTTAGTTGAGATTCGCGTTGGTTTCTGGTGTTTTGGATTTACTTTTCCCTCCAAGAGTAATAATGAAGTTTGATCTACTGCTTCTCAAATTTTAGTGGGCATAGAAATCACCTGGGCGTCTAGTTAAAACGTAGTTGCTGATTTAATATAAGTCTAGGTTGGAACCTGAGATTTCCAGTAAGCTCCCAAGTAATGCTGAAGTTACTAATCTCTTCTTCACATACTGCTTTTAATTTTTTTTCTTGCATTATATTAGTTTTTCTTGCTTGTTGCAAAATCTTCAAACGCTACAAAAAGGTAGGATGTAAAGTGACAGTTTCCTCAGAAACTACTAACATTTTGATGTATATTCTTCCAGGCTAATTTTTTGGGTAGTTGTAATATTTACATATGATATTGTGCACCCATTTTAATTGTACAGTTTGCTGAGTTTTAACAAATGTATGAATCCATGTAATTCGAGATATAGAAATTTTCATCACCCCCAAAATTCTCCTGTTCTTATTCCCAAGCAATCCTCCATCCCAGAGCTGGGTCTCTCCTTGACTAACGTCTAGTCAGGTTTGTCGACGAAAATAATCCATAGTCAATCTATAAATGAAAATTTGGGTGAGTTTATTCTGAGCTTAAATTTGAGGATTATAACCCGGGAGAGTCTTTCCACAGAGGAACAGAGCACTCCAAAGAAGTGGGGGTATACAGGGTGGTTATATACCCTCAAAGAGTATGTTTCACATGTGATTTAAATGTCCCTCTTACAATAGTCATGAGGCTGCTCTGTCAGCACAGCGATTGATGGAAACGGCAGATAGGTCTGCTGTCTCAGTGAACGCTGTGGGGTGGCAGGTGTGTTGCCTCGGGCTGGGCGGTCACAGATGAGCACTGCAATCAGTTCCCAGCCTAAAGAAAGATGCTTAATCTTTAAGGAGATGCCAGTTGGGAGAGGGAGAGAAGTTGCACCTTTATCTCAAGGGCCTTTGCTCTTGCCATAGGGGATCTCTAAAGCAGATATACAATGCATGCTCAACGGCCTCGGTCAGGCCCTTTTGGAAAGACAAGGTCAGGCCGAATTAGGTTTACACAAAATGGCTTCCTCATATACTGCAATATATCCTATTACTTGCCATTTTTGTTTGTCAGGTTCCTCTGAACTCTGTTTTCAGCTGGGCCCTGACTTCTGGGCATCCATGCCCCTCTGTGCATCGCTCAACTTTAGTAAGAATTCTGCTGTCAGTTAAGACAGAATTCTCCACGCTGAATACCTTTGTCACCCTCCATGTCTGATGAGGTTCCTCATTTTCCCCGCCCCCTCAGTGATGTCTGATCACCTGGCCTGCCTTCAGCAAGACTCCTCATGGGTCAATTTAGCCGGAATCTCTCTCACCTTTGTTTCCTCCCAGCAATTTTCCATCCACTGAATCCACCCTACTCCTTGGCTGTAAGTTCCCATTTTTCCTTGTCATATTCAGAGTTGAACTGGATGTCTCCCCTCTACTACAAACCCCATTGTAGTAGTCCCCCTTGAATAAGGTCTTCCTTACTGATGAGGATTTTAGGCTGGTTAATTTTAAAAAACTGCAGATGAGAAGCAGGCTCTGAGGACTGGAATTTGCTTGCTCTTTGAGAGATATTTCCATTTGTGAAGGAAGGGGGGATGACCTTGTAGGGACCTGAAATTGGCCACCCCAGTATATGTCCCTTTGGCATCGGGATTGTTTTGGGCTGATTGCTTTTGATAAACTGGGACAGGGAAGGAGGCTCTGGGGAATGGAACTTGCCCTTGTTGGGACACATTTACATTTGTAAGGTAAATCTCTATCTGTAAAAGGTGCCTCCCTCTCTGTACCAGGAAGAAGAAGACAGATGACCTTGTCCCTAGAAGCTCTTAATGGGGAAGGCAAGAACTTAAGTTGGTTGCTGTCTGGCAGTCTCATGTAACTGATTTAGGGTAGTGGCTTCTGACCTTTCTAACCTTTACTTAATCCGATTTGATTCTTGTCTAAAAGTCATGGGATCACCCAATGACCAGACCCTACCTGCACCGATACCATTTTAACTTTTTTTCATGTTCTTTCCTTTGTCTTGTAAAGAGATGACTCACATACCCATGCCTTATAAAATTAGCCCTAACCCTCAACTCGGGGCAGCAGCAGCGGCTCTGCCTGCCCATGGGTCCTTTCCCCATGCTAGTGGGGGCAGCAGAAGTGGCAGCAGCAGCAGCTCTGCCTGCCCACGGGCCCTGTCCCCATGCTATTTATTCCACACTATTCTCTAAGTAAAAGAGCACTACTGCCAGATCTTGAGAGTCCAAGAAATCTTTCTTTCGACTCCTCGGCTCACCGACCCCGCATCACTTACCATTTTAACAAGTTTCTTGAATGATTTTTTTTTTGTCCCCCCTAGCTTTACTGAAGTAAAATGAAGAGATAAAATTGTAAGATATTTAAAGTATACAGTGTAATGATTTGATATACTTATACATTGTGAAAGGATTACCCTCTTAGAGTTAATTAAAACATCCATCACCTCTCATCGTTTGCCTTTTTGTGTGTTTGTGAGAACAATTTAAGTTCTACTCTCTAAGCAAATGTCAGTTATACAAGGTTTTCAACCATAGTCACCATGTTAGAGATTAGATCCTCAGACTTTATTCATAACTGTTGGTTTGTACCCTTTTACCAACCTCTTCCCACTTCCCCAACCAGCCCCCCCGACCAATGCGGGTATCCACTCTTTTACTCTCTGTTTCTGTTTTCTATAAGTTCAATTTTCTTTTCAGATTCTTTTTTTTTTTTTGGAGGAAGGTTAGCCCTGAGCTAACATCTGCTGCCAATCCTCCTCTTTTTTGTTGCTGAGGAAGACTGGCCCTAAGCTAACATCTGTGCCCATCTTCCTCTACTTTATATGTGGGACACCTGCCACAGCATGGCTTGACAAATGGTGTGTAGGTCCACACCCAGGATCCGGACCGGCAAACTCCAGGCCACCAAAATGGAACATGCAAACTTAACTGCTACACCATGGGGCTGGCCCCATCTTTTTAGATTCTTTATGTAAGTGATACCATCCGGTATTTGTCTGTTTGTCTTTCTCTTTCTAGCTTATTTCACTTAATGTAATATCCTCCAGGTTCATCCATGTTGTCGCAAATGATAAGATTTTCTTCTTTTTTTAAAGCTGAATAACATTCCATTGTATGTATATATGTGTATATATATATATATATATTTACCACATCTTCTTTAGCCATTCATTCATCAATGGGCACTTAGATCGTCTCCATAACTTGGCTATCGTGAGTACTGCTGCTATGAACATGGGAGTGCAGATATCTCTTCAAGATAATAATTTCGTTTCCTTTGTCAGTATGCCCAGAAGTGGGATTTCTGGATAATATGGTAGTTCTATTTTAATTTCTTGAGGAACCTCCATTCTGTTTTCCATAGTGGCTGTAGCAGTTTACATTCCTACCAACAGTGCACAAGGGTTCCCATTTCTCCATATCCTCGCCTGCATTTATTATCTCTTGTTTTTTTGATGACAGATAGCCCAGCAGGTGTGAAGTGATATCTCAGTGTGGTTTTGACTTGCATTTCCCTGATGATTAATGATGCTGAGCACCCTTTCATGTACCTGTTGGCCATTTGTCCTATGCTTATTTTTTAGCTGGGTTATTTGTTTTTTTTGATATTGAGTTGTGTGAGTTCCTTGTATATTTTAGATATTAATCCCTTATCAGATATGTGGTTTGCAAATATTTCCTCCCATTCCATAGTTGCCATTTCATGTTTTTGATGGTTTCCTTTGCTGTGCATAAACTTTTTAGTTTGATGTAGTCTACTTGTTTATTTTTGATTTTCTTGCCTATGCTTCTGATGTCAAATCCAAAAAAATCATTGCCAAGACCAATGTCAAGGAGCTTATCACTTATGCTTACTTCTAGGAGTTTTATGGTTTCAGGTCTTAACATTCAAGTCTTGAATTCATTTTGATTTCATTTTTGTGTATGGTGTAAGATAGTGGTCTAGTTTCATTCTTTTGCACGTGGCTGTCCTGTTGTCCCAACAGCATTTATTTAAGAGACTATCCTTTTCCCATTGTATATTCTTGGCTCCTTTGTCAAAAGTTAACTGACCATGTATGCATGGTTTATTTCTGGGCTATTCTGCTCCATTGTCTCTTTTTGTGCCAATACCATATTGTTTTGATTACTGTATGTTTGTAATATAATTTGAAATCTGAAAGTGTGATGCCTCCAGCTTTGTTCTTTTTTCTTAAAATTGCTTTGGCTATTTGGGGTCTTTTGTGGTTCCATATAAATTTTAAGATTATTTGTTCTATTTCTGTGAAAAATACCACTGGAAATTTGTTAGGAATTGCATTGAATATGTAGATTGCTGTGGATAGTATGGACATTTTAACAATATTAATTCTTCTGATCCATGAACATGGGATATCTTTCCATATTTGTGCCCAAGGAAAACACTGATTTGCTTTCTGTGCATATAGATTGACTGTATTTTCTGGAGTTTCAGATAAATGGAATCATGTCATATGTACTTTTTTTGTCTGGCTTTTCTTCAATGTAAAGTTTTTAAAATTCATCAGTGTTATTGTATGTTCCTTCAATAAGATTCCATTTTTATAGATATACCACATCTTAAAAATTAATTTAATTATGCATGGACATATGGGCTGTTTGCATTTTGAGGCTGTGAGGGATCAGAATTGGCCACCCCAAATGTGTCTCTTTGGTTGATTATTTTTAAGAACAAAAGACTCTGAAAGAAACTTTGACCTTGCCCCCAACTGTCTAAGAGAAACTTAAGATAAAAGGCCTGTCCCTGGGACAAGCCATCACCATAGATATCTCTGGGTCTCAGAAGACTGTGAATGTCCTTGCTGAGCCCATTCTTACCTACCAAACATTTGCTTTTCCATTTCCATATGCATTACCTCCCTCCCCTTTGAAGGCTCAAACCATTACCCCCAACACCCTGCTTTGTCTTTAGCCAAAGATAATATTTAAGGTGGCAGCTTTGGCCATTCTGGCTGAGTTACCCAGTTTTCCTGGGTTTCTCCCATGTTTGTGTTATAAAGCTTTGTTTGTTTTTCTCTTGTTACTCTATGTCAATTTACTTTGTAGACCAGACAGAAAGACCTAGAATGGGTAGAGGAATTCTCTTCCTCCCCTACAAGGCTATTATGAACAAAGGTTTGTAAATATTCATGTACAATTCTCTGCGTGAACATGTTTATTTCTCTTTAATGAGCACCTAAGAGTGAAATAACTGCGTCATATTTCGCATGTATGGAAAACTGTTGGGAATTTTTTTTAGGGTAAAGTGCTTATACCATTTCTGTTCCTATCAGTGACGTAAAAAAGTACCAGTTATTTCTCATCCTAGCCAATGGTTGGTATGATCAGTCTTTTTAATTTTACCAATTAGAATGGGTGTATAGTGGTATTAATTTGCATTTCCCATCTTTTCATTTACTACTTGGTGGTTTGTATATCTGTTTGGAAATGTCAGTTCAAACCTTTTGTCCATTTTATCAGTTTGTTTATATTCTTTGATTTAGTTTTAATAGTTTTTTGTATCTTGTGGTCAAAGAACATATTCCATATCACTTCAGTTCTATGAAATCCACTGAGATTTACTTTATGGCTCAGCAGATGATCTATTTTAGTGTTCCAGCATGCACTTGAAAGAATATGTCTTCTGTTGACATTGGGTGGAGTATTCTATAAATATCAGTAAAATTGTTGGCTGGCAGTGCCGTCTTCAATATCTATACTGATTTTCTATTTGTTGCATCAATTTCCAAGAATGTTTATATTTCAGGTTTTTTTAAAAGATTGGCACCTGAGCTAACATCTGTTGCCAGTCTTCTTCTTTTTTTCCTTCTCTCCTAAGCCCCGCAGTACATAGTTGTATATTCTAGTTGTGAGTGCCGCCTCTGGTTGTGCTATGTGGGACACACCTCAGCATGGCCTGATGAGTAGTGCCAGATCCATGCCCAGGATTCCAACCGGTGAAACCCTGGGCCGCTGAAGTGGCATGTGTGAACTCAACCACTTGGCCGTGGGGCCAGCCCCATTTATATTTCAGTTTCAAGTGTGGATTTATCTATTTGTTCTTTGAATTCTTCCTGTTTTTCCTTAAAATCCTTTAATGCTCTGTTATTGGGTACACGTGTATGATTATGTCTTTGTGATGAACCTTTTATCATTATAAAATGTCCATCTGTATACCTGATAATATGACTTGCACTGAAGACCAGTTTGCGTGTTATTTATATAGCTATTCTTGTTTTCATAAGATTTATGTTTTCATGGTATACATTATTTCCATCTTTTTATTTTTAAACCTATCAATCTGTACAAATTATGTTTCTAATAGACAATTTGTATTTGGTTTTTACTTTTTAAAAAAAATCTCTGCGTGTTGGGAGAAAATTCTCTATGGATCCTGCATGTTGCTGTATGTTTTTTGAGCAAAGGTTTTCATATTTTTGCTCTAGACTGTCTTTTCAAGGATGTTTATATAGTAAGTAAACTTGGAAGATACGGGGTCTCCTCTGGAGCAGATTTGCCTACTGTCCAGTGTAGTAGAGGTAAGGTCTCCCTCCAGAGCAAAAGTTGGGCAGGTTGGCTTAGCAGCCCTTTCTATACAATTGGGGTTTCCTTAGCTGTGACTCAAACCCACTCTGTGCACGTATCCACCTGGGCATGCCTCTGCATCACCCTCTTGGGGCTTGGGGACTCAAGGGAAACCAACGCAAGCACGCACTTGATACTGCTTGCTGTGCCAGGAGTAATAAAGCCCTTTGTCTCCACTCAGCAGTCTCTTGTCTTCTGCCAGCATCTCTGAAACGGTGACAGTCTAACTTGTTATCTTGGGAATAGAATAAAATCTCAAGTCCTTCACAGTTCTTGATACTGCCTTTTAATTGGAGTGTTTAGACCATGTAGATTTAATATAGCTATTGATTAATTTGAGATTAAACCTATCATCTTGCCATTTGTCTTCATTTTCAAATCCATTCTTTGTTCCCCGCTTCTTCTTTTTCTTCATCATTTGGATGGATTTTCAGCATCCATTTTATCTCCACTATTAGCTGTACTTCTTTATTTGTTGTGTGTGTGTGTGTGTTTTCTCTAGTATTTACAATATATGTCTTTAACACATCCAAGTCTACCTTCAAGTAATATACCTCTTCACGTAAAATATAAGAAACTTTCAATGATTATACTTCCATTAACTCTCTCCCACCCCATTGTTGTTGTCATACATGTTGCCCTGCATGTTGTTAAAACCACAATAATTAACTTTGCTTAAAAGCCAATTGGTTTTTAAAGAAATAAAAGATTAGGGGCTGACCTGGTGGCATCGTGGTTAAGTTTGTGTGCTCCACTTTGGTGGCCCAGGGTTTGCAGGTTCAGATCTTGGGCGCGGACCTACACATTGTTCATCAAGCTATGCTGTGGTGGCATCCCACATATAAAATAGAGGAAGATTGCTTCCTCAAGTAAAAAGAAGAAGATTGGCAACAGATGTTAGCTCAGGGTCAATCTTCCTCACCAAAAAATAAAAAAAAAAAAGCCAAAAAACAAAAAACAAGAAAAAAGAAAATGATTTCACATTTACTTGTACTTCTATCATTTCCAGAGCTTTTCATTGTTTTGTGTAGATCCAAGAATCTATCTGATATAATTTTTCTTCCACCTAAAGATCTTTCTCCTGCAGCTCTGCTAGTGATAAATATTTTTGGCTCTTCTGAAAAAAAAAAATCTGCATTTTGCCTTAAGTTTTGAAGGATATTTTTGCTTCATATAAAATTTTAGGTTCACTTTTTAAAATCCATTCTTTTAACGATGTCATCCTCAGTTATATGGTTTCTAATGAGGCTTGTGGTTTTCTTATGCTTGTTTCTCAGTATTTAATATGCCTCACCCCCTGCTGTTTTCCTTTCTTTTTTCACTGTTTTTCAGCAATTTGATTATGAGGCATTTAGTAAGGTTTGGTCTTTATCTTGCTTGGTGTTCATTAAGATTTTGGATCCATGGGGTTAGTTTTCATCAAATTTGGAAAAGTTTTGACAATTCTTTTTCACTCCCTTCCTCCCCTATTCAGACATTCCTAATTATTCTATGTGATTATTCATGAAATTATTCATGTGAATTATTCATGTGATATTGTGTCACTGCTCAGTGAGTCGCTAATCATTATTCCAGTCTTTTTCTCTTTGCTTCAGTTTGGATTATTTCTATTGCTACATCTGCTGTTTCTTCAATTTCAGTAACTTCTTTTTTTTTTTTACATCTAATATACTGTTAATCTCATTTAGTGAATTTTTCAGTTTTAGATATTTTTCGGTTCTAAAAGTTCTATTTAGTTCTTTTTAATATCTTCCATTTCTCTCCTTGTTGTGTTCATGTTTTTCTTTTAATGGCTGAGCATAGCTAACATATGTATAATAGATGTTTAATGATTCTAATTACATTATCTCTTTTCATTTCTGTATCACTTTCTATTGACTTGATGTCCTCCTGATTATGTGTTATATTTTTCCTCTTCTTGACATGCCTAGTAATTTTGACTCAGGACTAGACATTAGACATTGATAATAGACAAAGAGTAAACAGATTTGACCTTGCTGAGTTTCACCCTATGCAAACATCTTAGCATTCAGCAAAGACTCATTGCAAGCCATATGCAGATCTACCAAGTACTTTGCATAGTTCCTTACTCTCTGAAATTCTGCCCTACAACTTCCAGTTACCCTCGACTCCCTGAGTTCTAATCTCTGTTCCTCAACTCATCCTCAACTCAGGAAAACTGCTGTGCTCTGCTTATGGTCCTCTCCCTTGCATCAAGATCTGGAATGCTCTTCCAGGCAGTAAATGGACAGTCATAGGTTCACCTTGTTTCTCTTCTCTTAGAGACCACAGCCCATCTTTTGACTTTTGTTTCATTTCTGAAAATCATTGTTTTTAATATCTTGTCCTGTTTTCTAGTTGTTTACGTGGAACCATAATTTTATTACTTCCATCATGCCCAGAAGCAGAATCCCCTGTACTTCAAACTACTCTGGAGACTGCAAATCAGTCACTGAATATAATGTTCATGTTAATCCAACATGGTCATGTATTGCTTAACGGTGGGGATGTGTTCTAAGAAATGTGTCATAAGGTGATTTTGTTGCTGAGCAAACATCCTAGAGTGAGTGTATTTACACAAACCTAAATGGTCTAGCCTACTACACAAGGCCATATGGTACTAATCTTAGGGGACCACCATTGCACATGCTGTCTGTTGGACTGAAATGTTGTCATGTGGTGCATGACTGTGGTTGGTAATTTTTCAATTTATAAAATAATTGTGATAATTCTGTTTACATGTTATGAATTATTTATGTCATGAAGCAAGCATTTTCTAGAGACAGATATGATTATCATTTGTTTCATATATAAAAGTAAAATTTAATTCAGTATCAAATTTTACCTTAAGTGAAAATTTTAATTACGCTTTAGCTTATTTGCAATATCAACACATCAAATAGGCTTTAGTTATATTAAAACTCTGTCCTAGGACTGTTTAAAGATTTTAAATATTTTGTTTAAAGATAAGTCATTATAAATATATGGCAGAGAAAATCTCTTTTCCCCTATTATTAAAGCATAATTCTAAATCTGTGTGAAGGTCAATAATCCAATTGCAAAAATTTAAACATAAGTATATTATTTTCACAAGCCTATATACATTCATTATTATTTGTTAAAAAGCAACAAATCTCAAATTTAGCACAGAAAAGAAAGTGGTAGTGAGGTATGAAATTTAATAAAGTTCTAGAGCCTGTAGCTTGGATGTTAAATGGTTGCACTGTTTTTATTTTGCTGAAATGGCAGAATATTGCCTTTATTTTTCAAATGAAGGTAAATCACAAAATGTCACTTGATGTTAGAAATCTCCATATTTTGGTCTGGCACGTGATTTCTTCCATACAGATTCCAGCTTTATGTCCACTAGAAGAGATTAAAATGCACAACGAAAAAGAAATTCAATTAAAATTTATATAAGGAAAAGTTTATGCAAACTATAAATTATCTGGAAAGGCATCAAAAGGGGAAGGCTTTTTTATTAAAAAAAATTGTATATAGAGGCCCTGCCCTGTGGCCTAGTGGTTAAAAAGTTCCATGTGCTCCGCTTTGGTGGCCCAGGTTTGTGGGTTCGGATCCCAGGTGTGGACCCGCTCCACTCATCAGCCAGGCTGTGGAGGCATCCCACATACAAAGTAGAGGAAGACTGGCACAGATGTTAGCTCAGGGCTAATTTTCCTCAGCAAAAAGAGGAAGATTGGCAACAGATGTTAGCTCAGGGCTAATCTTCCTCAAAAAAAAAAAAAATTGTATAATGAGCTAGAAATGCTGTTCTAAATTAAAGTGAGGTCACATTCAGATGTAAGCCAGATAGGAAAATTACTATTATCAAATAAATCATATCCCGGGATAAATATGATATAAACAATTTTTTTTTTTTCTGAGTCAAGCAACAAACACCACAAGTAGGAAGAATTTGTAGAAACCAAAAATAACATTTTGGAGGAAGACTCAAAGTCATTTCTAAACATAATGGATGTGACAGAGACGTTAAACATAGAGATTTTCTGTTCCAAGTCTTCAGGTCTGTGATTGACTGAGAAAGCATATTATTTGCATCTGCTGAGAGTGTTTCAAGTCTTGAAATGAGTCAAAACAAAGTAAGCCACAGGGACAAATATGTGAAAATGGCAAGATTATGTATATCAGTATTGACAGGAATTTAACCTTAATATTTCGGGATAATTTAAATATTCCATGAATATAGATAATTAATGATAGAATTGGGAGAAAACTTTGTTATAGAGACTTTAAACAGACAAAAATCAAAACAAAAATACTTTTTCAAACTTCTTTTAGCAACTGGATGCTCTAGCCTCATCGCGCATCATCTGTTCTACTGGGCACAACCTGTAGGTCAATAAAGTCCTTGTATGTATGGACTCAGGTCTTAATTTTCATCCCACACCATTTAAGTTGTATAAATACTGTTACTATATTTTTTCTGGAAGCCAAAGATCAATTTAAGCAGAAAGAAAAAGAGAAGAGGCTATTAGTAGGGATGCTGTTTATAGCACAACAATTTGCAAAAGATATAAGAGAAGAAAAAGTGGAAAAGAATCAATACACTTTAAGGTAGTGTTGTTCCTTGTGGTCTGGTTTTGATGCTATTCTTACATTCATTACTACTTTGGAACAAGATTAGTAGAGAAATTGAGAGGAAACATTTATGTTCATTTATAACAATTTGATGTTGCTATGAAATTTTGATTGTATGTTACAAAATGATCAGTCCATAATGGAAATTAAACCAAAACTAACCAAACACAATCAGACAAAATTGGTCTTTGACCACATTTGAGAAGCACTGAGAACCTGAGCTTAAGTAGGCGATGCTACACATCTTGGTCCAAGTGTAGGAGAAACTCTGGAGTACGGTTTCCGACTACCTCCTTGCTATTATTACTCTGTGGTGAATGGGGAGAAGCCCTTTGGCATAGTGTGTACTCTGAGCCTTTGAGCCCCTTGATGGTTTTTTCTTTGGAGAATGGTACATTTTCTCTTTTACAGGCTATCAGAACTTTCATGACTGTCTAATACTACCAAAAGACAATATCTGGGTGTTCTGAAGACAATTCCAGAATCTTTGTCTTAAGGAGAATGAATTCTAAGTATCGGATTGAGCTCTGGCTTTTCATATATCATGAATTTTATTTTTTCCATTCTTATTTATTTGTGAGACATTTCAGTTGTCTCAAGTGAGTTGGTAGGATGCTTGATACAGAATAATTTTGTAGACGTTTCTATAAAAAACATCTGGCAGCTGAAGAAAGAAAAGGGAGATTTTTAATGGAAAACCCTAAATGGTTTGGTGTTGAGGGGCAAGTCACAAAGGGAGGAGATTGATGGCACAACATATCTGAACTGGCAAAACGATAGAAAGATTAACCAAACTGTGTGGAGATGAATCAAGAGGTAAAAGGCTCCAAAGTGGTGGCAACTGCCATGCCGTAGAGAAAGGTGGTCTCAGGAATCACTGCTCCCTCTCCCCCATAGCCTGCATCATTAGACTTTACTAAGGGATAACTGTGCAGATGTAAATTATGTTGTGTAGGCATATTTTAATGCATAAGAGAGAGGCCATGATTATGGGGGTGGGATTACAAACGTGTAGGCATATTTTAATGCATAAGAGAGAGGCCATGATTATGGGGGTGGGATTACATACACTAGCCTATCAGCAAGGGAGGAGCTTTGTAGATAGTTAAGACAGTACAATAACTCTGTAAGGTTGAGGATCCTGGGTTTCTAGGTGGCAATGCATAAGCTCCCTTGACTAAGCAAAGACAAACAGAGAACAAAGCTAATGGGCTGGACTTTCACTCATAATATGCATTTCCTCCAGAAACTCAGGAGAGTGAGTTACAGCAGGAGGATCATCAGAAGGTACTTTCTTCTACACGAATGGAACCTCAGTTCTCTTCAGAGCAGCAAGGAAGCCAGTTCAGTTTTTCACCACTCTAAATATACTTGCAGCTAGGGGTGCCCAGTGACTCAGTTTTAACCAAAGAAATATAAGTGAGGGTTTCCAGTCTGACAAGGACAGAGCTTGGAAATCATCACGTCTAGCCTCACAGCAAGAAAAATGCGGAACAAACTAAAACTCAACAACTCTTCTTAGAGCCATCAAAGAATTGCGGTTGTAGGGCAAACTACTGTATCACCAAAAACTGGAGAGACCAACAGGTGATTCTGCCACTGGGGCCAATACTGGCAGGAACACCTAAACCTTAATGGATGAATTGCTGGAGCCTCAGTATGGATAAGCTTGAAAGTTAAAAACTCTGCGGGGGCAGTCTTAGGGAGGAGCTCATACTTCCTTGAGTTTTACTTCCAGGAGCCCTGCCAAGTCAAAACTCTCCTTTGGCTTCCGGCAGTGGAAGGGGAAAAGCAACCATTTTGAAATATCCCAGAGCTCTCTGTTCTTCTTAATCAGGCATGCCCTCAGGGGAAACTATTTTACAAAAGCCAATTTGGGTTTTACTAAACCCTACTGACCTGTGGAGAGGAAATACCCAAATCCGGACCCTCTGTGTGGCAGAAAGGAAATAGCCAACTCCACTCCAGTCCCTGTAGCCTTCTTGTCTCACTTAAGAGGGAGAGTAGCTAAGAAGTAGCTGAGAAGGTCACATCCCAGGGACACAGATTCACCAGAAGACGGAGACCTAATCACAGAGTATAATACACGTTTCTTCACCACCACTTACCTTTATAGTATTAGGGGGGTCCAGCTTAAAGCACTTCAAGCCTCAGACCCTATTTAAGAAAGAGTCTCTAGGGGAACCCAAAGACAAGAGGGAAGACAAAAGTAAGGCCACCAGAGTAAATATACGCCTCTGACACCACAGCTAGAGCAAACAGAAAACAAAGCCTAAATGCCAGCCATGTAGAGATGAAACCTCACACTAAAGGCTTATTATCTACCTCAGTTTCTATTACTCAATATATCTTGACTGGCTCTCAACAAAAAATTACAAGACATGCTAAAATGCAAAAACAAAACCAAAACCAAAAAATAGTGAAGAGACAAAACAAGCATCAGATCCAGACTCAGATATGGCAGAGATTTTGGAATGATCAGACTGAGAATTTGAAATAATTATGATTAATATGCTAAGGGCTCTAAAGGAAAAAGTAGAAAAGATGCAAAAATAGATGGGTAATGTAAGGAGAAAGGGAAACTCTAAGAATCAAAAGCATATGCTAGAAATCTAAAACGTAGCATAAAATATGAAATGCCACTGATGGGCTCATCAGTAGACTGGACATGGTGGAGAAAAAAAAGAGAGCTTGACAATATGTCAATAGAAATTGTTCAAAGTAAAAGGCAAAGACAAAAAAGGATGAAAAAAATGGAACAGACTAAGAACTGTGGGACAATTAAAAAATGTAAGAAATTTCACCAATAATTAATAGCTTTCCAAAACAGCACCAGGCCCAGATGGGTTCACTGGTGAATTCTGCCAAACATTTAAAAAGGAAATTACACCAATTCTCTACAATCTCTTGTAGAAATAGAGAGAGAGGGAAAACTTCCTGACTTATTCTATGAGGTCAGCATTACCCTAATACCCAAACCAAAGACATTACAAGAAAGGAAATGACAAACTAATCTCTCTCAGAGCATAGGCAGAAAAATCCTCAACAAAATATTAACAAATTTAATCCAACAATGTATATAAATAATTATATACCATGACCCAGTGGGATTTATTCCAGGTATGCAAGGCTGAAAGTCAATTAATATAATCTATCACATCAACAGGCTAAAGAGGAAAAGTCATACAATCATATCAATAGATGCAGAAAAAGCATTTGACAAAATATGACACCCATTTCTGATAAAAACTCTCAGTAAACTAGGAATACAGGGGAGCTGCCTCTACAAAGCACCTACAGCTGGCATCACAGTCAATGGTGAGTAATCAGATGCTTTCCAGCTAAGATCAGGAACAAAGCAAGAATGGCCCTTCTCACCACTGCTATTCAACATCGTATTGGAAGTCTGAGCTAATGCAATATAAAACAAGAAAGGTAAACAAAGTGTATATAAATTGAGAAGGAAGAAATAAAACTGTCACAGATGACAATCCCAATGAATCAACAATAACAATAACAAATAACATCAACACTAACAAAAACACAAAAATTCCTTGAACTATTAATCATTAGGCAAAGTTTCAGGATATAAGTTTAACATAGAAAGGTCACTTGACTTCCTATATACTAGCAATGAACGATTTGAATTTGAAATTAAAATACAGAACATCTTTTACATTAGCACCAAAGAAATGAAATACTTACGTATACATCTAACAAAATGTGTTCATAATATGAATGAGGAAAACTCCAAAACTCTGATGAAACAAACCAAGGATGATTTAAATAAATGGGAGAAAATCAATATTCGTTTATAAGAAGACTCAATATTATTAAGATGTCACTTCTTTCCAAATTCATCTATAGATTCAACACAATCCCAATTTAAATTCCAGGAAGTTACTTTGTAGAGTTTGACAAACTGATTCTAAATTTTACATGGAAAGCCGAAAGATCCAGAATTGCCAACACTGAAGGAGAAGAACAAAGTTAAAAGACTGATAGTACCTATCTTCAAGACTTAGTGTAAAGCTATAGTAATCAAGACAGTGTGATCAGATGAATATTTCATTCAGTGAAACAGAATAGAGAGCCCAGAAACAGACCCCCACAGATAATCAACAGATCTTTGACAAAGGAGCAAAGGCAATACAACAGATAAAGGACAGTCTTTTCAACAAACGGTGCTGGAACTACTGGAACAACATCCACATGCCAAAAAAAAAAAACAAAAAAAACTAGACACTTGCCTTACACCTTCCATTAAAATGAACACAAAATTTGCCATAGATCTAAATGTAAAATTCAAAAGTGTAAAACTTCTAGAAGATAACACAGGAGAAAAACTATGTGACCTTGGGTTTGGCAGTGTGTTTTTAGATACAACACCAAAAGCATGATCCATGAAAGAAATAATTGAGAAGTTGGACTTCATTAAAATGAAAAACTTCTGCTCTGGGAAAGACTGTTAGAAAAATGAAAAGACCAGGCACAGGCTGGGAGAAAATATTTGCAAGACACTTATCAAGAACTGGTATCCAAAATATACAAATGACTCTTAAAACTCAACAGTAAGAAAATAACTCAATTAAAAAGTGGGCAAAAGATCTGAACAGACACCTCACCAAAGAAGTTATACAGACGGCAAATAAGCATATGAGAAGACTGTCAATAGTATATGTCATTAGGGAATTGCAAATTAGAACAATGAGATATCACTACACACCTGTCAGAATTGCTAAAATCAAAACACTGATAACATCAAATGTTGGCAAGGCTGTGGAGCAACAGGAACTCTCACTCATTGCTGGAGGGACTATAAAATGACTCAGCTGCTTTGGAAGAAAGTTTAGCAGTTTTGTACGTAGTGAAAAACAGTTTTACCATGTGATCCAGCAAGTGTGCTCCTAGGTATTTACCCAAATGGGTGGAAAACAAGTCCATGCAAAAACCTGCACATAAATGTTATAGCAGCTTTATTTTTGATTGCTAGTAACTGGAAGAAACCAAGATGTCTTTCAATAAGTATATTAATAAACTGGGGTACATCCATACAATGGAATATTATTCAATGATAAAAACAAATGGGTTATCAAGCCATGAAAAGATATTTCACTTAAATGCATATTCCAAGTCAAAGAAGCCAGTTTGAAAGGCTACATACTGTGTGATTCCAACTATACGGCATTCTGGAAAAGGCAAAATTATAGAGACATTGGAAAGATCCATGGTTATCAGGGGCTTGAGGGGGAAGAGGAGGAGGGAAGGAACGAATAGGTGGAGTACAGTGGAGTTTTAGGGCAGTGAAACTTTTTTTTTTTTGCTGAGGAAGACTAGCCCTGAGCTAACATCTGTTGCCAATGAAACTATTCCTTATGATAATGTAATGGTGGATTCAAGACATTATGCATTTGTCAAAACTCATAGAACTGTACAAGACAAAGAGTGAATCCTCATGTAAACTATGGGACTTTAGTTAATAATAATGTATTGATATTGGTTCATCGACTGTAACAAATGTATTATACCAAGGCAAGATGTCAATAATAGGAGAAACTGTTGAGGGGGAAGGAAAGGGAGTATCTGGGAACTCTCTGAACTTTCTGCTCAATTTCTCTGAAAACCTGAAATGGCTCTAAAAAATAAAGCCTAGTAATTTAAATAAAAAGGACGCACAAGAAAAATTTTGAGGGTGATGGATATGTTCGTTATCTTGGTTGCAGTGATGTTTCATGGGTGTACGTGTGTCAAAACATTAAAAAATGCACACCTTAAATATGTGCAGTTTATTGTATGTCAACTATACTTTAATGAAGCTGATAAAAATATAAAACTATATATATATATATTTTTTTTTTTTTTTCCAGAGGACGCTATTTTCCTGATCAAAAGGGAACTGACTCAGCAGGCATATACTTTTTGCCTTTTGACCTATACCCTTTTCTCTTGGAATGTGGACACCATGTCTGCTGATGGGGAAGGATCTTGGAGGCCATGAGAATTAAAGCCATGTGAAGAGTCTGAAGAAGGATCATAAAAACAGAAGGAACCTGGGAATTCTTTGGTAATTTCTGGAACCACCATATGAGCCCTAGACTGCCTAGGTCAGGAGTTTTTGTTTGGAGAAAAAAATATATGCTCCTATTTGGTTAAGCCACTGTAGTTGAGTTTCTCTTATAAGGAACTAAAGTTAGCAGTTTCTAACTGACATAGCTATTCATTAATTGCGCTCATAAAATACTTCAACAATAAAATCAACAGAAAAAAATCTTAATTATTGGAAATATAACGTTTCCCAAATCCTTCTATGATGAAATATAATCCTCTTCCTGGAGATTGCCCGAATAAGGACTGGGCTCACTACTAAGTTGAAAAAGGAATGGATGAGAAAAATGGGGACTTTTACCCTGAAGAAAAGCCTGAATATGTAGGAAGGTAACAGTTGTTCTCAAATATCTGAAGGCTTTTCAAATGGAGGGGCCATCGGATGTATGTCTGGTGACAAGAAATATAATTAGCACATGCAAAAGGCTCATGGAGACAATATGATGTGTTATAGAAAGAATTTTTAAATCCATGTCAAAGATGTGCAAAGATGGAATAAGCTGTGATTGGTGTAGAGTTTCCTGATGTTGCAATTGGTCAGGCCTAGGGTGAATGACTATTTGGCAGAAGATTTTGTAATTTATTTTCCAAATAACATAATCCAAAAGATTTAAGTGACTAACTTTGGGCAGTCAGATAATATATGGCAAAGCAAAAACTGGAATCCAGAACAATGTGATTTCAAAGATGGTACTCTGTTCATTAAACCACATCATCTCCGGAGAGGGCTGCGAAGGAGATTTAAATAACAGATGAGAATCTGAGTAATGGAGTTTTTAAGTTACTTCCCAGACTGCAACTACATATTTCTCAAAGGAAAGGGGAAGAGCAAAATTTAGAGTGCATATTACATACATGAAAAATGAGGATGTCTGTTGCATTGAAGGGTCAGTGAGCTTCAGTGAAGCCTCTGTACTTACGAGGAGGCCTGGTTCTGGAACAGGAGTAGGCCTTGAAAACCGTTTGCTAAATTTCCTCTTTTCTTTCCTCAGGTTTTGCATATTCTCAATACGTCTAGCCATGGACTTTTGGAAAATTAAAAGGAAAGAAAACAAATCATATCTTTTATAACATACAAAGGTAACATGCTGATTATACTTTTGGTTTGTGGCAATACAAAGAGATAAACACAATGCATGCACATATTTTACTTAGCATCGTGGAAGTAGGAAAAATCCTTTTTTCAAATGTGAGGTTCATAGATGAAGGAAAACTGGAGCATTGGTGCTGTTTTCAAATAAAGACTCTTTACTCTTGATTCCCACTTCACCAGCTGTGCACATTGTAGATCCAAGATTCAGGGATATATGTGTTTACTTTTATTTTAAAGGTAATTTCATTAAAAACCCCAAAGAGACTTTCTTTATAGAAATAAGAAAGCAAAATCCATGCACATTCTTTAGTTCTCTTAAATGCTGCATTTCACGCAGAGCTCTTAATGTCCGCATTGTATGGTGTCTGTATGCAGCAGTCCTAGGGGACCAAACTAGAGTGCTTTGAAGATAACGGACTATTAGAGTGGAGAGGGGATGAGTGATAGGAACTTTCACCCACTGCACGTGGGAGTGCACTTGGCACAACTGCTTTGAGAGCAATGTGGCATTACTTTATAACAATGAAAAATGTGCCTTCCCTACGATCCAGTCATTCTGCTCCTGCCAAAAGAACCAAGTGAAATTCTTGTTCATAGAATGTTCACAGTAGGACTGTTCATTACAGGAAAATGTGGAAACAATCCAATGTCCATCAACAGGAGAAAGGATTAATGAACTGGGCTATTTTCCACAAGGAACTATTCAACAGCAGTGAAAATAAACGAACTATAAGTAAGTACGACACTATGGACGGATGTTAGGAAACAGTGTTGAGAAGAAAACACTAAATTTTGCGTGACCATATATTTATGAAGTTCAAAACCAAGCAATCTACTTTCAGAGCCACATATGTGACAGACTATTAAAGAAAACATGAGATTGATAAAAATAAAATCCAAGATAGTGGTTACCTCCGGGACAGACGCGGGGAGAATGAGGGGAGCAGCCCCTAGGTGAGTTCAAGGATACTCGTATAATGGTGTCTTAAGTTGGAGCTGTATTTTATTGTTCTGCTTTACAAGTTATATATGCTACATATATTATTGTGTAAGTATCAAATGTTACATTAAAAAAAGAGAACATAAGCCATTTAGGTTACGCTAATTAAGACTCATTCTAATAGTAGTCACAAGATCCCAGAATCCAGAGGAAGATAACGCAAGTGTCTGGCTAATAAAAGTTCTACCACATGAGGGACCACACATAAAGGAACAAGGTAAAGTCATAATTTTGAAATACCCCAAATTGTTTATTTAAACATTACCTGCCTTGCAGTGACCTCTGAAGGATGGTATCTCCCTGGTCCTTCCTACATAATACATAAAATTAAAAAACAAACAAACATAAAAGTCATAAGCAAACAGAAAAATTAATTGTTATAATAGGAATTCTATGCTACTTTTTTAAATTTATTTATGTAATATGTGCATACCATCTCAAGTGCAAGAGGCAGGATCAGAATAACACCATCAAGGTAAAAACCGAGGGTGGGGGGATAGGGATAGTATTATGAGAAAAAATAACGAGCTGTGAAGCACATTACAGGGAACATATAGAGTCTTGAGATTTATTCGGAGGTAGGAAAGGGTGTACAAGAAATCCAAAAATTCATGCTTCTGTTGGTACGTGACTTCAGTGGTGCCACGCTGCTCTTTGCTTAAGAACTGCCTTTAATCTGGCTTCTAAAGCCTGAAAAAGCTGGGGTGATTGAGGAACCCCAGCAGGTGTATGGTTTTCTGAGGCACAGGGAGCTTGGCTGTTCGTTTATAGGTTTCCCACTCCTTCCCCTAATTTCTAAATAGTACCTTAAATACCTTCCCCTTCCCTCATTTTGATCCAACTGCTTAACCCAAAGACCCAAAAGCAATCTCCTCCCCATCTGAATATTGAGAAGTTTATCCTGACCCCTCCTCCCCCCCAGCACCCCACCTCTGTAATTCTCACCCTACTTTCTAGGGCGAGTCAATGGGTCAGTCAACAAACATGACCCAGTGTGCCTGGCTCCTAGCAGGCGCGGGGTGGGGCCTGCACCCCAGGATCTGGTCCGTCTGCTTACCCCGGGGTTTCCCACCCCCAGCACCAACCCGCGCCAGGGCAGGAGCGCGGCCTCCGGGGCGAGGCCTGGGTAAGCACTCACGGGGTTGACCTGGGTAGAGTCGTCCTCCGTACAGCGCAGGCACATGCTGCAGAGCCTCGAGCGCCCGGCGCCCACGGCCTGAGCCCGACGAGTGACAGTGGGTCGCGGAGCCCCGCCCCATCACAATTCTCTTTGTCCGGGCCCGGGCCCCGCCCCTCCCGTGTGGTCCCTATCTGTCTGGAGAGCATCGGCAGCATTAGGGATGTCAGGTTGCCGCAATTCCCAATCCCTCCCCCTCTCTCACACAGACAACTACATTATACCAATTTTCTATCTTTTCTATTCCTCATCTCTCTACTCTTTCTCTATGGAGCCCACTTCTTAACACAACTGACTTAGATTCCATGGTCCCTCACTTTAGTCTGTCATCAAGGTTCTCAATTCCATCACCTCCTTGTTCTTCCATCACAACTTCCAGTTGGATCCATCCAACGATCTGCCTTCTCGCTGTCAAGAACTATGCTGAAGGGGTGGGAGGTGGGGAGATTTGAAGATTCTGCAATACATATTCGTCATCTCCAGCTTAAACTGGCTGCTCACCGCTGCTTCCACTTCTTTATGCTGCACTAGCTTTCTTTTCTGTACTCTGCAGCGTTCCCTTCAAACTGTCTTCCCGCTATTAAAATCTCTGAGCCCACCATCTCCCTCCCGGTCACTTCCAGCAGAAGGAGGCAGACGGTTGCTTCACACACTGATAACAGCTAACACCTACATGGAACTTACGCTCAGCACTGTTGCGTGGACTTACACATGTTGACTCAACCCCTTCCACCAACTCCAGAGGGTAGGTGCGTGATCATCACCATCTGGGAAACAAGGCTCTGGCGTGTTAGATCACTTGTCCCAGGGTCTACAGGCGGAGGGTGAGCTGGGATTGCAGTCCAGAGTCGGCCTCCAGGGCCTGTGCTCTGAAGCACTGTGCTCGGCTACTGGTTGCTCTTAAAAGTCCAGGCTGGAGCTACCTCAATTCTTTGCCACCAGTAGCCCTATTACCTTGTCTGTAGCCACACTGTCCTTTTCCCTGTCATCCTCTTATCTCGAATAAATCTCCACTTCTGTTCCCATTTCCTAGATTGCCTCTTCCCTTTAGACATTTAAATACTCAACTCTTCCCCTCTTCAAACCAATAAAACAAAACCCTTTGAACCACAGCTAATTGTAACTATTGCCCATCGCCTCTATTTACAATAAATGTTCATGAGAATTGTCTGCAATCTCATCTCCTCTTCTTTACGTCCCGTGTGATATTTGGCTCACTGCAACCTGCTTCAACCCTTACTACCCCATGGGTGCCTGTTTCAGAATGGCCGCTAATAATCTTTCTGCTGAAGTCAATGGACACTTTACCACATGACCTTTGCATAGCATTAGAAACCACAAAGAGGTCTCTTGGAACAGTTAGGCTTAGAAAAAGTAAATTATCTTGCCCCTGTGACCACTCCCGTCTTGAAACTCTCCTCTGTGGGAAGAATATGCCTTAGAAAAATTGTGTAATCTTGTTCATGATCCTAAACCAGGAATTGACTTGAAATCCTCTGCTTTCTCTAATATACCATGTTGCCTCAAGAACATATGTTTTGGATACTTACCATCACATATCTGCTAGGGTCCTGGAAATACGAAGGTCAATCAATTACTGCCCTCAAAGAAAGTCAGACAAACTAGTAACAATAAAAAAAGGTAAAACAATCTGTTGTTAGGTTTAATAATGACACACGTGCAAAAATGCAAGAGCCTCTAATTCTGTCTGAAGATGAAGCCTTCAGGTTGATGCCAAGAAACCTTCCCAGTGGAGTTAGCCAGATTGGCCACTCACGTTAGTTCCATTCTTCTGGCTTCCTAATCTGCCTTTGCCCTCCTGGAATGATACTTCCACAGGTGACTCACCTGTAACCACCTCTAATTTGTGCAATATCCTCAGAACTGGTGTGTTAGGATAAGGACAGAGCCTGAAGGTGTACCTGGAAGTGTATAAGCTGGACCTTAAGGATGTATAGGAGTTTATGAGGCAGCTAAAGACAGAAAGAGCATTGCTGATGGGGGCAGCAGCATGTCCAAATGGCAGGGGGTATGGATCAGTATGATGGGTTTGATGAATGCGTAGCTATTTTCCAGTTGTTATCACTTCATTCATTGCTTCTCATTGCCTTTCCTCCACCTTTATTCTGTAAAAAACAAAAACGAAAACCACAAGGGACCAAGTTGAAATAAAGCATTGTTTAGCTGGATTCAGGCACCATGAGACTGCCAGAAAAGAATGTTTCAGAGTTTCACGTCTGAGATTTGTTAGGAAGCAGGCGGTGGAACCCACAAGAGTCCAAATCCTGCCTTCACCGGCCTTCTCTTGAACACTTTGGGATCCTGGCCAGTTAATTACCTTGCATGAGCCTCAGTTCCCTTTTCTACATTTATAAAATGGGAATGATAAAATAACATAGGGTTGTTATGAGCATTGGAAATAATATAAGTAAGGAATCGGGGAGTTAGTTTTTACTGAATGAGGAGTTAATAATGGCAGTTGTAGTTATATTTTATTATAGGTTACATTGTAGAATCGTCCCAATGGGAAGAACCTTAGATCTCATGCAGTCCAATCTCCTATCTGATGCTTTAAATCCCCTTTCAGTATGTTCATTGAGTGGCAGTCCCCCCTTCTTTCGATTAAATTAATGGATAGGAAATTTCAGTCCAGCCCATTCAATTTTTTGGTACTTTTAATGATTGGAATCTGTTACTTCAACCCACTAGTTCTAGTTCTGTTCTCAAGGCCCTCACCAAATAACATCATTCTCCTCTACATGATGATAGAGTTGGGGGAAGACGCTGAGATTGTCAGAATCTAGAAACTTGGAGGAGGGACCCCACAAGCCAGGAATCAGACCTCTGAGGAAGGGAACACTGCCGAGCTGAACTAGTACCACAGGGGCTTGGATGGGTGGGGAATGCTTCAGGGCAGGGGATCGGAGAGCTTTTAGGAGGGGGCACTCTCCAGCGGGTGCTGATAGGATTAAGGAAGAGCAGGAACACCAATGCTGGGTGTGTGGAAAGAACTTACAAACTGGAAGCAACTGGTGCTAGAGACAATTGCTACTGCAGGTGAAATGTCGTTGCTGGCGAGATGCTGAGAGCCAGAAACAGGAATGTGTCAGATCCTTCTCTCCTCCCCCTGCCTTCCAATCTCCCTCCAGCATCCTCTTGGCTAAGCCTACCAGGACTCCGGCTGCCTCACCTTTCAGCTCTTTATTTCTAAAGAGCAGTAAAATGTGCAGAGTCCCAGCCCTGGCTTCACAAAGTAGAATGTGGACGAGTGGGTTTAGAGCTGATGGACAGCAGGTTAATGAGTGGCACAGGGACCCTCGTGCCCTAAATCACATGCAGGCCTTCACCTCTACGTCTTTGGGGATGGTTTCAAATGTCCCACCATCCAGGTCGATAATCTGTATCACACTACAGTTAGCCAATGTCCGGCACCAGACACAAATCTCAAAATGTGATCTGACCAAGAGTGAAAGGGGCAAGAGTATTAACTCCCTAAGTCTGGACAGTATATTTGCATAAAAAAATGCTTTTGCAGGAAACGAATACAATTTAACTGTAAAATTGTGAAAAACTCCTGAATGCTGAATGCAAGCATGGTCAGTATTCCTGCTTGTTTATGTTTGATTGGTAGAGAGCTGAAATTCTCAAAGTCAACTCTAGAAAATGCCACCATCCCAAAATGTTTATAATTTTATGTGAAAAACAAAACAAATAAGCCCTTTTACCTAAAAATGGGTACTGAGTTCAAATAAATTCGGGACATTCTAGATGAAACAAAGCTAAACAAGCATCTACTGCAGGGCTACTCAAAACCTATAATATGCTAAAGTGTTTATGAATTTCCAGACGGCATATATTCTACCATGTTCTCCAATTTATCTGCTTATGGGACCCCTTTTCAGTGTGCCATCTATAGTCTTTCTCACTTGTATTCAGAGGATTCTAGATTAAAGATAGTAGTTGTTTCTAAATAACTAAATGTTATTTTATATCGTTTTAAGAATGGCCTTGCTATGTCATAAACTACATCAACTCTGAATCTCAATATTAAACCAGATTTTCCCCACATCCCATTATGTATCTCATTTTCTCTCTAAGCAAGATTTGCTAATTTTTGTTTTATATCTTAAGTAGCTGTTTCATAATAGCTTTTTAGGGCGTTTCCATACTGGTGTTTTATTATCTTTCTCTGGGTATTTGATAAATCTATGCTGATGAAATAGTTAAAATAGCATTGCAGTACTAATACAATATCTGTATCCTGTAAAACAGGCTAAGGTTTATCAAATAGAATATCCACACAATTTTCCTTAGTATAAATATTAAGTATTTTCTTTCATTTTTTGCAAATGAAATAATTTGAAGTTTATATCTCTTAGCTTTCTTGTCTATCGTCCCCAGTAATTCAAAGCTTGGTTATTTAGCAACTGAGTTTATAGGAACATTTAAATATTTCATTCACATTTTAAGAAAAAAAAGCTTGTCGGGTTTGTTTGATGTTTCTGTAATTAGATCTTTTGTAAGATTATGCGAATATGGGGCAAGTTCGTAACAAATTAACTTGTAAGCTTTTCCACGTAAATGAAACAACTTGTGCAGAAATACAAATGGAATCAACACCGATGTATCTTGTACCATTATTCACAGAGTGTCTGTTTTCTGGGCTTCCAACGGGCTAGGAAATCTTTTTTGGGGCAATAAGAAACTTTACTTATTTACTTGAATTTCAATATAACTGTTTATCTTTTGATCTGAAGCTATTTTCCAAAGTAAATGGGAGAATTGTGATTAACTTATATATTTAGGATTTTCTTGTGACTTTATTTTTTAAAATAAAATTTGGGAGAGTAAATCTTTTCTAGGTCCTAAGATTCTTGAAATACTGGAAATTTTTCTTCCTATTAAAGTGGGTTCCCCTTCCACGATACAATGCTATTTATTTGTCTGTTTAGTAAATACGATTTGACAGATTCATCACTTTCTTTTTGGCCATTCTTTCATACTACAAATATCTATATCCGCTGAGTGCCTCTTTTACTCCAGGCTCTGTGCCTTGTGCTGGAGTTTTAGTACTAAGCAGGCAGGTAGGATTCCTACATAAATGGGTCCCGTGTAAAATAATACCAGTGCAGGGCTGACTTCATGGGTGTACAGCCTGTGTGGTCACACAGGGAGTCATGCTTAGGAAGACTAATGCTCTGCTCTTGCTGTCTTATAATCCTTAATTTTTAAGCAAGTGGCCCTGCATGTTCATTTTGCACCAGGACATGCAGATTGTGTAGGCGGTCTTGAACATACCCTACAAAGTTTATGAGAAATCTCTCTCTCTCTCTCTATCCATCCAACTATCAACACCTGGCACACAATAGTATTTAGTGTAATTTTTCATTATGATTGCCATGTACTGAGTTTATAGAAGATTTTCCCTTCTCTGTACCTGGGCAGTTAAATTGTGAAATCTAGGGTATAGACGTTTAAACTTTTCTACATTGTTACATCTGTTTAGATTCAACTTAGCGTCCCATCCTGTCAAGAGCCTTCTTTGTTCTCTATAACTCAGCACCAACATGTCATCTGCTCACTAGATGAACATGTTATGTCATCATCCAAATTTGTGATGAAAACTCTGAACAGAACAGGGCTGGGAAGATGCCCTGCAGCCCAGCACAGAAAGCCGCCCTGCAGGTTCAGCAGTAATTATTTACTGGTACCTTTTGGTAGACTTGTTCATTCAGTTACAGATTCACTCAAGTTTGATATCAATTAGTTCTGATTATATCCTTCTCATCCACATCAATATCATGAAAGACTTTTTCAAATATATTGCTGGAATCTGGATATGCTTTAGACTCCTAGTCCATATTGAAGGTTGTTCAGTAAACTTCTCCCTAACCTAGAAACTAACTTAGATAAATTTCTAGAGTTAATATTGCAAAAAGAAATCAAGGAAGGAGTTAAGCTAGGGGAAAAATACAGCATTTCTTTTGGACTGTCTTATATTTATTTCATGGGTTAGTATATTAGTTTCCTATTGCTACTGTGACCAATGACAACAATGTGGTGGCTTTGAACAATAGAAGTTTACCTTTCACACGTCTGGAGGCCAGAAGTCTGCAGTCAGAGTGTCAGCAGGGCCTTGCTCTCTCAACGGGCTCCAGGCTCTGGGGAAGTACCCATGCTTGGCTCTTCTACCTTCCGGTGGCTGCCTGCATTCATTGGTTTGAAGCCACATCATTCCAATCTCTGTCTCCATCCTCACTTTTTCTCCTCTGTGTGTGTCTAATCTCTCTTTCTGCCTCTTTCTTGTAAAGACACTTGTGATGGTATTTAGGGCCCACCCAGATAATCCAGGAGGATGTCCTCAAAATCCCCAATCACATCTGCAAAGATGCTTTTTTTCCAAATAAGGCAACATTCATAAATTCCAGGGATTATGACGTGGACATAACTTTGGGAACAATTATTAAGCTACCACAGATACTTTTGCCTTTTAGTTTTGTATTACATATAAGAAGGGCATTATACATTTTCATCCTTAGGGCTTCTGCACATCTGAACCGAACCTGGATAGGGATTAACTTCACCTGCTTATCCTTTGCCTCACAAGGATCTGCTTGTTTTTTCCACCCTGTGGAGCTGTAACTCCTCACCTCTGTGGGGTAGAGCTAGGGCCACACTTACTGTGTCTTTAGGTCACCCGGCCTTTCATTGTAAAGAAAGCAATTAGCCGGCTGCTGCAGTTAGAATGCTGGAGGTAACAAATGACAGCTGTTGCTGTTATTATCTTTGAGAAAGTGTCTTTGACAAGTTCCTTATGGCACTTCTAATCACATATCCCTTTGGTATGACACAAATCATTTGCCACTGTGTTCTGATTTATGAATTCCTTCTGGACCAGCAGGTAAGTCAGGGCTCTGGTTGAGGCTGGGTGCAGGAATAGCTGGCAGAGGTGGGGAGCTACTAGCTGACAATGCTGCTGCATAAATCTTGGGCCTGGCAGATGCATGAAAACTAAGCCCCTAAGACTGTGACCAGAAAGAACAAGGCAGAACAAGAGCTGCAGGAGAGTAGAGAAGGGGCCTGGGCTAATGAAATTCCACAGGGCATAGGAAATCAGAGGCAGGCATGGACCTCTGCCTAAATTACCTTGATGTTCATGTGTAGGTAGGGCATGAACCAGAGGAGAGATGAGAGGCAAGTCACAGACAGTCCACAAGACACAGTTCCATAGGGAGGGAGCGAGCATTTGAGGGGTCACCTTTACATTCGCCTGGGGTGGTGAGAAAACTGTGGGTGGAATCTGGCAACGTAAAGAGGGGAGGTTAAATGGAGAGAGATGGAATTGGGAGATGAGATTAGAAAACGGAAGAACCACAAACCAGTGGCGATTGCTGCTTTTCTCACTGTTTCTCTCCTCTCCTTCCTCCACTCCTCCCTCCCACTTCCTGAGCCGTAAGGACCTCGTGCTCCATGAACTCTGCTCCCACTCAGTCAGCTTTCTTCTCAGTTGTCCTGCACTTGCTCTGCATTGCAGCCCCCTTACCTTGGCTGACTCTGCACCTGTCATGACTGCCCCAATATAAGGTTAGGTCTTTCCTCAAAATTATGCCTCAGAAAAGAGTGAGTCGCTTTGTGTCAGAACCCTTATAAGGTCTCTGTATTTCAGAGCTCTTTCTCAATTACTTTCTTTTGAAAAAGTTTTTCAGGAAAATGCACTAGTCAGAAATGGCCTTAATGAATGCCAGCATTGGATGCTTATCGAGGTCACCTATCAGAATCAGTAAAAACACAAGGTAAAGAAGTTCAGTCGTTATCTCTTGGGGTACAGCTTCATATTTGGAAGTTCTGAAAGACATTGTAAATAAGCCTTTTAAAGATCACTTTAGAAATGAATAGAATCAATAAATGGCTATATTTTGGAGATCCTAAATATACACTTAAAGCACAAAGGAAAAGAACAAAAACCATCATGTGAAAGGGGACTTAGGCTTTGGAGAAATTCCTAGTAACATGGAGCAGCATCAAATTAGAATTTAAAAAGTGCTATATTTTGAGCTCTGAGATGAGAGTGAAAATCAGTGTGTTTGAAAACTGCTCAAAAAGTGGCTCTGGTGACAATTAAGACCATGAAGCTTAAAATGCATACAAAGAGGCTGAATAAGACTGTATAATGAAATGTGGCTAAGCAATATTTCTAAACTAATATTTTATTTATATAATGTGGTTTTAAATATGAATGTGCAAGAAAATTAATAAATTAAGTATATACTGCAAGTAAACATATGGCTCTTACGGCTGCATCTCTAAAAGTTTAAATAGTCAAATTGATAAAAAAAACTTTGGGGAGATTTACCCTCCCAAATGGTCTCTTTCTCCCTTAGTTGGAAGGTTTTAACTTTTTGTCAATCCTACATTACAATTCAAAATGTTTGGAAAGGACTGCAAACACAGTTCTTTACCAGAAAGAACCCAGTCCTACCGTTAGTTCATCAGACACAGAGATACACAGACACATACACACACATATGCTTCAAAGGATGGTGCTGTTAAAAGATAAACTGAGGCCTGTTAAAATTTTTGTTTATTTGAGCAAGAATCATTTGGAATAGGGCAGTACCAAACCGGAAGCGGTCAGGAGCCCTCCGCTGACAGGAGCTGGGGAAAGGTTTATATAAAGTGCGGAAGCAAATTATTCCATTGGCTGTAGCTTAAAGCCTAGCTGGCTGTGTGTGATTGGTTGTCCTTGGCATCTTGATTTCCTAACCTTGATGCATTTACAGGCTTAGATTTCACTTTGCTTCCATAGGCCTCCCCTAGCTTTAGAGCCGCCTCAGTCTAATGGCCTCCTTGTTGAATTAATTTAACAGTGCAGGACATTTCTCATCCCTCAAGTCTGTCCTGACTCCCATTTCATTACGTGCAGTCAGCCTGCAGAAACACGCAGGAGCCTGCTCATCTCAGTTTCTCATCTATGCTCTGATTTCTGGAAGTGTAGGTTGTAGGATGCATGGTTCTTGCTTCATCCTGAAAGGCGGATCTTCACACGGAAGAGTACACTGGATCCTCATAGTTTACTGAATAGAGAGGCGACAGCACAAAAGAGCTTGTCGTGCAATACTTCACTGTCTCCTCCCCATCAGGGGCGATCTTCTATCTGTAGAAATCTTCCAAAAGTAATGATACTTTCATGTTTCCTCTTGGAAATGTTATGAATCTAAAGATGAACTATTAGTGGATTTTTTAACTGGATTGGAAATTAACTCCCATTTGGGAAAAACAACCCTGAATTTTGGGATCTAACACTGATTTTTAGGTACTGATTAAAACAAAGATGAAATGAATGATTTATTGTCACACTTGATAATTGTTGAGTACTTAACTTTTAATCTGGATAGGTGTGCCTTAAATGGCTCTACATTAGATGCATCTTTATTAGATAATAGCATGCATTTCTGGAATTGCAT